TATTCAAATTAAATATAAATAACTTATAAATATTAATATATCATTTACACTTTTAAACATATCTCTCCAACGGTAACAAAGACAGCGGTAAAACGAGGATAAAATTTGAGTGGTGGATCGAAAATCGAAGTGAACATAAAAACCCAATGTTTAGTCCACCAAACTAAAAACAATTATCCTACTAACATGGACCACATGAACTAAATTGGAAAATCAATTGATTTTACATCTCATTTGAATAGCCTTAGATCAACTATGTATTGCAGGATGGCTTTTGACTGGGTTCCTTAGAATCATACAGCTTTTACATCATAAAAGCATCCAGGCTTTTACATAATATACTATGGTTTTTTTGAAACATGTAAATCATGAAAGGGAGGAAAATTTCTTGATTCGTACAACATGAGAACATTGTCTTTAGGTGGGTTGGATCTGGATTTTCATTTCTCCTTTAGGCCCAAAATGAAAGCTCAAACACTGAACTGGGCTAGGAGTACATCCATAGATCATCAACAAAAGACAGAAGCAGGGTTTCTTAAATCAACACCAATGTCTCCATTTTTGTTTAGGAATAAATAATTCAATCCGAAAAAAAAAAAAAAAGATTCTTCTCCCCCATAAGCTATACTATCATCAGCGTTTCATCCTAAACCTGGGAGAAAAATACATGGCGCATGTGAATTATTAAAAGACAACTTTATGAATAGATATTTTTTCAAATAGTGCAACATTTAATCAAAACCAGAACTTTAGTTCAACCCAATTGTGGCTTGTCAACCTTTTTTGGGTTGACATAAAAGAAATGATTGATATCTCTAAAGTCAATCAGGCGAATGCTTCGAAGATACTTGAGCAAAAATAGAGCATGGGATTGTTATGGATCTAATTATCAGAACTTTGGCTTTGGCTCTTCATGGAGTTTCCAATACTGCAAAATTCTGTAGTACTGATAAACTTGCTGGCCAACCCCAATGATCTGGATCCATCTAGCCCCACTTCAAGTTTTGTGACTAATAATTGATCAAGAGATTAGACTTTCAACTGACCATATCCACACAATTAAAATATGCTAACCAAGTGAAAGCAAGTTCTTTTTAATTTTGATAATTTAAAATACACATAATGATATAAAAAATATGATGTAAAATTTTATTAAAAATTATATATGTATTTAATGAAAATAAAAATTATATTTTATATTTGATATTTTAACATGAATTATAATATGTAATATTGGTATAAAATATAATATAAATAAAGAATTACTGATCTAATTTCCTCCCGGAAACTTTTCTCATATATGGAACTTAGGACAGCAATTGTCTGTCAAACCCACCGTCTCATTGAGCATAGGCCCTGTTTTTTTTCCAGCATAGCTAAAAAGGCTCTTTCCCAATAGATGACTTTAAGCAAATGCTTTTTTTTTTTTTTTCTCAATTACACTTCCACTCTAAAATCCGAGTAGCTTAGTGGATATCATGCAAAAAGAGAAGTCTCTTTTTTCTGCCTTATTGGAATCTAAAGCTTAAAGAAACCTTCAGAAATATGTGGACAAATGTCATTTGAAAAGCAAGCCTTTCATCATGTATCAAATTCCTGTTGGAAATGTATTTGTCAATATCTTTGGTCCAATTGGGATTTTTAAACAAAGTTTGTTCAGTGTTCAAATTACATCAAAGGAGGGTAGAGGAAGGCCCCCATGAAGGAAATTGATGGTGAAAAGTCATGAATTTTCATGGGGAATGGTTGATTTTCAAATGTTGTAAATGGACAGTTGATATTGCCGACCCTGTAGCCCAACAATCAGTGTCTTAATGAAATCTCTTAAACAAAAATGCAGCTGCTGGTTCTAAATCAAACCCAAGATATTATGCAAACATGTCAATGCTTTGCTCTTCTTCAACACCTGACAGAGTGAAACATCAATGGCCAGCTCCAAATTGGTTGGCTATGTTTTGAGTTCTCATAATATCTTAAAATTATCATCTCCTGTTCCTCATCTCCTTTTGAACGGAATTTATGCTCACATAAATTGACGCTAACTAGAGAATCTAAAATTAATGGCAGGCATAATATATGCCATATGGTACTTCAAAAATATAATTTCTAATTTTTTTGTTACTAATTCAAAAAAAAAAAAAAACTTCAAAATTAGAATAATCATATAGTTAAGGACTTAATGCTTAAAGTTGGAATGTAAACAACAATATAAAATCTCAGTTAGCAAAAAAAAAAAAAAATCCCATTTTTTGTGAAACTGTTTTTAATTACGAATACATCAAATTATGATGATATAAAAGAGCACACTGTTAAAATCGTTAAAAAAAAAATTACCTCCAAACATGGTTTAAAGATATTGCCTAATCATATTATCGAAGGAAATATATAATCTAAGAAAACAAATATTAACATGATTTGTGGATTGGATAAATGGAAAATTTCCAAAATTTTAATGCATTTACTTATCATTAGGTGGAAATCCAACTTTTAATCTTTAAGTAAGTCAACTATGTTGTCCTATGGGGATCAAGTCCTTATTATATCACTGCATCTGTCTTGATGCGTTGAAAGGAAGGTACCTACTTTTTATTCCATGCTATTTGCTTTTGTCATGGTGAAATTGTTTGGTTACATGGAAAAAAAATTGGAAGTACCAAGAAAACCAAGGAAATTAAGATTCCCCAAATTAAAAGAAGACCATGAGAATCAACAATCTTTTCTTATTTCCCCCACTTATTTTGTCATAATTTTGCATTGATGATTAGGATATTTTCTCACCAAAAAAATTAAAAAAAAAAACTTGCTCCCATTAGCCATCGTCACAACTCACTATCACCCAAGAAATGAGATTTTTTTTTTTTTTTTGGTGATATATGATAGTATTAGGAAAAGTAAAAATAGAGTAATTTAAGAAAAATTTCAAAATAAATTAGTAATATTTTTGTATTATTATTTTCATTCAAAAAAAATGAGCACAATAATCTATTAACCAACTGATTCCAAGATATCTAGAGCAGATCTAGAGCAGAAAAAGAATATGCAATAAAAAAAATGTCAAAATCAAAGCTTAAATCTTCAGGGATATGTTTGGTTTTATCATATTCATACAAAGATAATTTATTTTTGCGGATTTGATTTATTTTTTTCATATGATTAATTAATGAATATAAATATTACATATTTAAAATGCTGAAAAATTTTGTGATGGTTTTGTTTGAGGAAGGATCCAAAATTCCCTGTCAATTACAACAGACAGGGACTGTGAATTTGCGGCTAAACCACATGGGCTTTCCAAACTGCATTGTAAACATTAGCAAACTGAAAGGTTAAGAGTTTAAATTCGACATTATGTCACATATTCGTTCCATCTTTTTCAAGAACCATCATTAATCCAAAGCTTCGACCGACGTTGCCACTAAACACCTTAATCATTCAATTAAATTTTTAATTTTTATAAATGAATATTTAAAATTTAATAAAAAATTTATTACATTGGAAATGAAAAAATAATATTAAAATAAAAGTGTTCGGATAATTATTATTATTTTTTGTCAAAAGCTAAGAGTGAGTTCATGATCCAAAGAGCGGGCAATGGGACATAAGATTAGATCCAAAGTGTTGAAGAGGGACAAATGATGAAACCTTAGCATACATCAAAAAGAAAAGAAAGGATAAGTTTTAATTGCCTCCACTTATTGGTATTTAAATTTGATAATTTTTAATATAATAAAATGATATAATTAAAATAAAAATTATATTAAAAAAATTTAATATTTGATATATTAATATAAATTTGAACACAAAACAAATGCGAATCAGTTACCTGAATTATCATGTTTATTAGCATCAGTGATTTTTTTTTTTTTAATAAAAATATGCATCTTCGTTACACGACAGGGGAAAGAGAAAAAGGGGGGATGATTGCGGGAAAGGGATTGCCGCCACGTGATTGCACGCGGGTATGGAGCGCGTGGAGAAGGAAAAGAAATACTCGGCCACGTAGACTATGTCAGCATTTGCCTCCAGCAGTCACCCTTGAAGCTTCAGTAACTAACAAGAAACAACTGTTTACCTCATTGCGATTGGACGGTGCTTTTTACTTTCGTTTGTAAAGGAAATTATTTTCAAATTGGTCCTTAATTTTCTAGTACATTACAAAATAAACCTATTTCTTTGTTGAATTTCATCACACCATAAGGAAGAAAAATATGCAAATCATAATGTTAAAAAAATAACCATGTCATTGATTTATTTAAAATTGCCTATAACTTCATCAATAAAATATATATATATAAGAAGCAAAAGATTTTAAAAAATTACATTATATTTTTCACTATGTATAAATTATATTGATTATTTACAAAAATAAACAAATAATTTAAACAATTATCTTTGTTGTGAGTTCTTTTTAATTAACATTAACAACATATAAATAAAGGAATTTTCTCTTTCTTTCTTATGTTTTATTACTTTAATAATGCATTCGTGAGAGATTTTAAAATGAATTTTTAAGGACATACGAGATTCATACTTGAAATTACTTGATAAATTAAAAACATAATGTAATGATTTCAAGCTTCTTAAAATTAAATTTTTTTGGCATAAAGAGGATATTTTTAAGGAATAAATTATAAATATTAAAATTTAAATCTTAAATTTATTAAATGATATGTCATAAAATAATTGCAAAATCAAATTAATTAAATCATAACTTCAAATCAAAATCTTTTTAGAATTATACAAACAATGCATGTAATATAAATCAATCAATCATATTAATCTTGTCATCATTCAAATACTAAAATAAACTTGTTATCTCAACTTGAAATAAAATCGATCAAACTCAAATAAAAAAGAAAAGAAGGGGTTAACTATAAATAAATGAAAGACCAAGGGTGTGTATGCAGCAAAATTAAACAAATATTCACACAAGTTGACAAAAGAAAAACTATAAAACAGAAGTAGCCAACAAAACTTTGTATTTAAAAAAATAAAAAAGAAATAAAAAGACAAAAGCTTGTAAAAACGAAAAAACCCCCAAATAATGGAGAAGTGTGGAGAGCCATTGGATATTGCAGGTGAAAGAGAGAGAAGAATGGAGAATCCCAATGCTCAGAAGAAAGAGAGAAGACAAAGACAGCACAGTCCACTGTTCACTCTCCCTTCTTTCTCTCTCTTTCTCTGACCAATTAAACTTTAAATTACTTATCTTTCCACTCTCCTTCTCTCTCTATATATTTATATATATATTTCTCTATCTTTCCCTTCTGAGTTTCCCCCCACTCTCCCTCGATTTCCTCTCTTACCTAAACGCCCAAAAAAGAGAACTTTAATTTATAGTATTTTCATTTTCTCATTTCCTTGCATTTAAGCCATGTTCCCATGATCTAAGAAACCCAAATCTCAATCTCATCAATCAACAAAACCCAACCCAAAAAGAAAGGAAGGGAAGATCGCCCTCTAGATCACAAAGGCCGCGCGTGTGGTACCAACTCGCCTTCTTTTTCTTTTGTTTTCTCTCATGAGACATAACGAGGCGGAGCAAATGTCTGAGGACGATGGGAGGCAGCAATCTCCGCCGTCAGATCTTGAGTTCACTTCCAATAAGGCACGAAACTGTATCGCTACCGGGTCTGGGTCGGGTCACCCGGAGTTACAGTCTCAGTACCCGGACCAGGTTCTGGAGAACGTGTTGGAAAACGTGCTCCACTTCCTGATATCGAGGCAGGATCGAAACGCCGCCTCATTGGTGTGCAAGGCTTGGTACCGAGTTGAGGCACTGACGCGATCCGAGCTGTTCATAGGGAACTGCTATTCGGTGGCGCCGGGTCGGGCCACCGCCAGGTTCACCAGGGTGAGGGCTCTTCACCTGAAAGGGAAGCCCAGGTTCGCGGATTTTAACCTGATGCCGCTCAATTGGGGGGCCCACTTCAATCCTTGGGTGCTGGCGATGGCCAAGGCTTACCCTTGGCTGGAGAAAGTTTACCTGAAGCGCATGTTCGTGACGGATTATGATCTGGGAACGCTGGCCGAGTCGTTTTCAGGGTTTAAGGAGCTCGTTCTCGTTTGCTGTGATGGGTTTGGAACTAGTGGTCTGTCTATTTTTGTTACCAAGTGCAGGTATTGTTCTTTATTATTATTTTCTTAAAATTATTTTTGCTGATAATAATGCTATAAAATTATAAATTGCTTGCTGATTAGATCTGTTCATGGTGTTAAGAGTAATGGTCATTGGTTTATTTGGAATGGAGTTAAGAAAAGCTTGTTGCTTTACTTAGATTTTTGTTTGATCTGATGGTTGTATTTGTAGATTGACCGCTTTTAGATCTACTATGGTTTTCCTTGATCTGGGTATGGATTGGGATGTGAAAATGTTTGAGTTTAAGTAATGTGTTGTGATCATCAATGGATAAAAGGGAAAAAGGGAGTTTGAGGATGGAAATGTCTGGATAGTTGACTGATATTATTTCTATAATTGCAGACAGCTTAGGGTGCTTGATCTGATCGAGTCTGAGGTTACAGATGATGAGACAGATTGGATATCCAGTTTTCCTGATGGTGAATCGCATCTTGAGTCATTGATATTTGATTGTGTAGAATGCCCAATAAATTTTGACGCATTGGAAAGGCTGGTGGCTAGATCTCCTTCACTTAAGAAGCTGAGGCTGAATCGATATGTTTCAATTGGGCAGCTATATCGCCTGTTGACTCGAGCTCCACAGCTCACACACCTTGGGACTGGGTCGTTTAGCCCATCTGAGGTTGCAGGGCAAGCTGATCAGGAACCAGATTATGCAACCGCATTTGCTGCCTGCAGATCCTTAGTTTGTCTCTCTGGGTTTAGGGAAATAATTCCAGATTACCTGCATGCAATTTACCCTGTTTGTGCAAATCTAACGTCTCTGAATTTCAGCTATGCCAACATCACCGCAGAACAGCTCAAGCCAATTATAAGCAATTGTCCCAAGCTCCAGGTTTTCTGGGTATGTGTTCAATATTTTGTTCTATAAGCTTTGTGAAGAAATTAGGGCTTTGGAGCTTACCTCAGCTTCCATTATGCAGGTCCTTGATTCAATATGTGATGAAGGACTTCAAGCAGTTGCTGCAACATGCAAGGAATTACGCGAGCTTCGGGTTTTTCCTGTTGATGCTCGGGAGGATAGTGACGGCCCTGTTTCTGAAGTCGGCCTCCAGGCTATTTCTGAGGGTTGTCGGAAATTGCAATCTATACTGTATTTTTGCCAGCGGATGACTAATGCAGCTGTTGTAGCAATGTCTGAGAACTGTCCAGATCTTGTTGTTTTCCGGCTATGCATAATGGGGCGGCACAGGCCTGATTCTGTGACTGGAGAACCTATGGATGATGGTTTTGGAGCCATTGTTATGAATTGTAAGAAGCTCACTCGCCTTGCTGTATCTGGTTTGCTGACAGATAAAGCTTTTGACTATATTGGAAAATATGGGAAATTGGTCCGTACATTGTCAGTGGCTTTTGCTGGAAATAGTGACATGGGATTGAAATATGTGCTCGAGGGCTGTCCGCAATTGCAGAAGCTTGAGATTAGAGATAGTCCATTTGGAGATGCAGCTCTGCGTTCTGGTTTGCATCACTATTACAACATGAGGTTCTTATGGATGTCCTCATGTAAACTAACTCACCAAGGTTGCCGGGAGATTGCTCGTGCTATGCCTCGCCTGGTGGTTGAAGTGATTAGATCTGCTGATGAGGAGGAGATGGATGACCTTGTTCAAACGTTGTACATGTATCGGTCTCTTGAAGGGCCTAGACTTGATGCACCAAAATTCGTCACCATCTTGTAGGCAAATGTGGTGCAAGAAGCTGTTTCAATTATTCTCATTGTGGATACCAAGCAAGTTTAAACTGTTTCACGGGGAATTTTGATATGGTGGGTATCTTTTAAATAACCCACAGCAAGGTCCCTGCTACCCCAGTCAAGCAAAGTTGGGTATATAGCTTCTGCTTCAGGCTTGGGCTGTTATATTGGCATTGAAAGCAGAACCCCAGTGAGGGACAACAGTCCATCTTTACTTTGGTTCTTTTGAAGGACTTTGGATAAGGGAGACTAGTGTAGAAAAGGATGTCTGTATAAGTTATCGGATCGTTGGATGTTCTAGCGGTACGCATTTAAACTTTACGTTTCATTTTGTTTTCATATTCATTTTATCATAATCGAAGGTAGCCAGAAGAGAAGGGAGGAGGGGTTATCGAACTATATGGAGGGGCAATGATATATGTGTTTTTGGGCCAAATTGCGTTATCCTTTGATGAAGAGATGAGATGATTGTTGAATAATCGGAGATTTAGAGATCAAGATGGGTGGATCTCTTTTTCCATGCTTGCAGCAAAGAAGCATAGGCAGAAGTATTTATCCACTCTCTTAAAGATGATTTTCACATTTGGATTAAAATTGTAGTTTTTGAGTTGTAGCTTTATGAGAGTTAAAATCCCAGACTTGCACATCTCTCTCTCTCTCTCTCTCTCCATGTTTGTTATTTTCAGATGTGTTGTGGTAGCACCTGACTGTTGAATTTATTAATGTTATTGTTAGAAATGTGAGAAGGGTAATAAATGCCAAATATGCATATGGATGGACCGTAAACTTTAGCAAGACTGTGTTTTAAAAAATTTTCCCCCTTTCTCCATCCAGAATATCGAATGATCAATTGACAGGAAGGGCCATTAATTATGTGTGGAAAGTGTTGTACAAGTACACGTTGCAGGATCCTCTCCACCATGTGGGGTTCCCATCTTCCATCCACAGGAATCCCAATTCTTAAAAGGATGGATGATCGATGGTCCTGATAAATTTCTCCTGTTCTTTGGAGTTTGGAGTTGTTATACCTTTGAGTTCATGAAAATTTAATGGAGTTGCAGCGCTGGATGTTTGAGCTTATGGCTTTGTTGAATTAGCTTCTGGGCACTCCGGTTGCGTTGAATTATAGATTTTCCCATATCGAGGGTGGGACCCATCATTTGATGATTTGTCACTCCCCCTTCGTTTGCGTTATAAAGCAGCCGAGTCCACAAAAATGGTCTTCTCGCTCTCACACTCTCTCTCTTATAATTAGGATGGAAAATCTATCTGCCTTCTTTGTTGGTATTCTCCATGGCAGGATGGTAAAAGCAAACTTATCATCAAAGTGGGATCTGACTGTGCAATTGAATAAGTGATGGGAAGCAAAGCTTTAGCTTTCTCTTTTGTCTATCCTTTTGTGGGAGTAGCTAGTGGACCAAACCCCAAATGTTTTCTTCTACCCATGCTTCAATGCCAAATAGAAAATGGGTGCCTTTCTCTCATGACTCATGCCTGTCTTTTGGGTTACCGTCCAGGCACCGCCTCTCAGCAGAGCCAAGCATAAAAGATAAGAATTGCATTTGCTCAACAAGAAGAACTCTGAGTTCAGTACTTAATTGGCTTAGCTTATTTCATTCCCTTCTGCTTACGGCGTGAACATTAACCTGGATGACCATTGCCAATCCCATGGTAGCCTCTGCTTTTCTTTTTCTTTGATCATCTTGCCCTTTCCTTTGGGTTTTTTCTTTTTTCGCAGAGCAACCATCCTTGTCTCCATGGAAAGCAAAAAAAGTAGAAAAAAAAAAAAACAGTGATAATGACCCTACAATAGGTCCAGGATTTTGCTAAAACCTTGGCTATCGGGTTCACTTGAAATGCCCCTTTTTGATGGATCTATTTCTCCTACTTGACATATCTTATCTAATCCATCATTTGACAGAGAGACTTCTTTCATTTAATTGGATGGCCTTGATTTATTAAAAGTACATCGACCCCAATTTCGGCTTTGGCTGCCACATGCTATCAACGTTTTATACTCCTAATAATACCGCTACTCTCCACCACCAGCAGATTTTGGTTTCTCAGTAAATTGTACAAACAAATGAGTAAAAAAAAAAAAAATCCCCGAAAAAATGAGGAGATGAAAGCGAAACTCAAAAGCAATTATTATTATTATTACTATTATTATTTTTCAGTGACGAAAGTTAGGCAGCTTTGAACTGATTGGTGGATACCCACCACCAGATCAATTCAATGTGAGGGCCACGTGTACGGCATGGGAGGTGGGATACATTCATTAATTAAGAAACTTTATTTATTATTATTATTATTATGCAACAAAAGTATGCTGAAATTTATGTGTCATATTTATTTTAAATACTACTTAATATTTAACTATATATATATATATGTTTAGTGGATAGGCAGAGAGTTAGCAGACGCTCACGTCCAAAGCAAAAACATGGAAACCAAACTGATTGGGTAGCTCAGGTTGCAACCAAAAAACCCAGTTGGTGGGGTGGCCTGCAACGCGCCGCCCCCCCCCCCCCCCCCCCCAAAAAAAAAAAAGATTTAAAAAAAGTAAAGAAATTAGTTGGTGAAGAAGATGAAAAAAAAAAAAGCGGAAATTTAGTCGGTTAAGTGCATTTATGGGATGAACTAAGCACGAGCTCAACCACTAAAGTATGCTCTCTCGTGCTGCCACCACTTTATTAAAAATATCTTCCCATATCATATACATATATATTGTTTTGTTTAACTAATTTGATTTAATCTAATCAATAACTTGATTAAATTATTATGCACATTCTGGACTGCAGTACAACGCCATCTTTCCTTGCACCATTTTCAGGATTGATCTTGCTTTTCCCCAAGCCTAGTTAAGTGAACAGTTTATACCCTCCTTTTCTTCACAAATGCATCTTCTTATTGTCTAAACTTTACATGTATTTTCGATTTGGATCAATTCGAAATTTTATTTAATTCATATAATTATTTTTAAAATTTTATATTTAATAAATTTAAATTTTAAATTTAAGTATTTATAATTTTTCATTTTATTTTTAAATTACGGTTTTATTTTATTTAAAAAAATAGCTTCAACTCTATTATTATACAAGTTCAATGATTACATTTAATTTGCGGTTTAAGGATTGTAAAAAAAAAAAAAAAAAAACTTGGGTTTGCTTTAATCTGAAATGTGGCTCCTATAAAGAATTTGCAATAGAGAGCGTTGCCAAAGATGGGATTGTATGAAATTCTAACGTTAAGCGTTGCCAAAGATGGGATTGTATGAAATTCTGAGGTTATCTGTAGTCACAGCTCACCGTGTGAAGAAATAAATATACAACTCATGATATTGGAAACTGCAGGGCCTAATATCACGTAAAAACAAAGCAAGTTTTTGACATGAACCTAATTTCTGACTTCTGGCAAATCGGCATATATTCTTGCCATTAGCTGTCTTCACCAAGATTTCCTTATTCAAATTTCTTGTAAGAAAATATTATTTATGAGAATGTAGCTTGAACCCTTTTTTTTTTTTAAATAATAATAATTTGAAATATAAAAAATAATTTTATGTTGATATTTAAATTTTAAATCTATTAAATATTATTTTTTAAAAACGATTATCGAAAAAATCTTGATTTTATTAGAGGCAAAACTAGAATAGGTAGGCAAGTGTCATGGACTCTCCAAAAATTCTTTAACTCCCTTATTATTTGATGATTGGTTTCGCCTAATTATTACTTTGGTCTTTTTTTTTTTGAAATTATTGTTTGATCTTTTTTTATCGATTTTTTTATCTTGTCTTTGAATTTAATGGTAAAAAAGAAATCTTAAAACTTTAAAATTTTATATTTAAGTCTTACTGTAAGTTTGATTGTTTAATTATATTTTAATTATTAATTAATTTTTTAATAATTGTAACTTAATTATCATGTAATAATTAATTATTTAATTGATTAATGGATGTAATATTTTTTTTATATAGATATAATATTTGACAAAAATTATAATATAAAAAATTTATTACATAAACTAATAAGATTAAATTTTGAATTCACTATTTTTTTTCACATAGGTCAAGAATTGAGATTGATTTTTTTTTTTCAAATTAATAATAAAAAAAGAAAACTAAGAAAGATTTGAGATCAGCTTGATGTCAAATGTCAAAGATTAGCATCTGCTCATCTTTAATTTGAAACGAAAATTTCGGTCTATAGCTATCTGTCCCCGCACTGTTTGTATTTGACAAAAGCAAGCACTTCAAGCTCGTAGTCTGCCTTTTATGGATAGAAAAACCCTAGCAGCTATGACCATGCAAATGAGCATAGACTTTTTTTTTTTTTTTGACAATACTTTAATAATTAATTTTACTATACGTGCCACGTATTGATGGAAAAATTCAAAAAAGAAAGTAGTAGAACACACCTAATAAAATTTATTTATATAACAAAATAATATGAAAATAATATAATAATTTTTGCTAAAAATATTTTGAGAGTAAAGGCTTAAATGTAAATACGTCTTTAAAATTGCTAAAAAATGAATTAAACTTAGAACAAACTTGAAACAATCTTTGACCGAGTTATAAAAAAAATGAAAAAAAAAAAGTTGGGGTGATATTTCCTTATGCTTTTAGATAATTTGAAGTCTAATGGAATAGGAGTATTAGTAGTAATTATTATCTTACAAAGAAAAAGTATGAAATTAGAATGTAGTGATAGGTCTATCAGTGGAGAAGCACGTCCGTACAAATCAGTGATAGTTAGGGTGGGTAGCATATTTATAAGCTTGGTTGAAAACAGTGAAAATTTGATGGAAAAGTACCATCTGTTTAACAAGAACAGACACTGTTGTTGATAGAGCATAACTAAGTTTGCGTGTCACGTTGTGACTGAAGGAGGAGAGGAGAGGAGAGGAGAGGTCCTCTCTTTGTATCCACGTTTCAATATGCTTTGTTTCTTTCCATCCGCTTGAAGATGGGTTCCCCCACTTGCAATGCTTGCTTGTTCTTCTGTTCATTTACACACAAAAAGACTTTTAAATTGCAAAGCTCATGTCAAGTATTATTTGTTTCTTCATTCGTTCCAAGCCTTAAGAATAAAATCTTCGAATGACAAAGTAAAATGGAAACAGATTTCTTTTTCTACATTGTTCTTTTTTTTTTTTTATTGTCATCTAATAATTAAAAAATAAATATCAATATTAAAATTAAATTTTTTTTTAAAAAAATAATTATATAAATTAATCGGACTAAATCAAAGATTTTGGTATCTTTCATTTTTCATGAAGTATCCGAAGATGGATATAAAAACCCAATCCTCCAAATACAAGAAAGAAAAAATTTTGATTGCCCTTGATCCAAGTAACACAGATCTTTTCCTTTGTCAGATGATTTATTATTGATAACAATGTTCTTAATCATGTTCTATGTCATTGTTTTTATTTTAAAAATTTTGTACAACTCACCAAACTGAGCAAGGTAAAAGATAAGCTTGGTCAAGAATAGAATTGGAGAGGGTGATTCTTGTCATTGACACGGAATGAGGTACCGAGGTCAATCATATTTTAGTTGTTTATTCAATCCTTGATCTATGTATGTAGATAGAAGATAGAAGAATAAACGCATCCATCTTCAACTTGCAGGGGGACAATTAAGGCTGTTTGTTCGCATATTTTGAACAGCTGGGACAACCTCCATTATTTTTACTTATTTGGTGCTCAATGTTTCACCAATTCGAATTCAAGGTTCAATGGTCGTGGAAAAGGATTCCTTTGATCAAACAAAAAAAGCTTTGCCAACTTGGAGGAGAATATTATTATAGTAAAAGAGTCCAAGCCATATGCAAGTCGTAGGCCTTTAGATGCAGTCATTTGAAAGAGGGAGAGGGAATCTTCTAATCATTTATCCTTTAGAACTATAACAATGCTCGCTGCTATATATATTATATATATATATATATGTAAATTGGCTGTTGGACCTTGGGCTGATGTGTGAGAGAGCAAGGGCTCATTGTCTTTGAATTTCACTAAAAACCCAAGATCCTTGTCCGTGGTATGTCACTAATTGGTAAGGGGAAACTTACCCTTTAAAAAAAGCAAGTGGGGCAGACACCATTGCATCAAATTGGCCTTTCAGAAAAAGTAGTGTGTCAGATTTCAGCTGAACCCTGGTCAAAAGAACCTTGAAAAGGAGCCCCAGATTTTTATTTTTCATGGTGGACCCCGATTTGGTCAGAATTGGCATTACCCTCCTTCAACCCAACCAAAAATTTTAAAATCAAGACGCATCCATGAAAGAAATCTCCAAACTTCGGTGACAAGCTTACAAATCAGACCAAATTGAAATGAAATAAAGCAGATGGGCTTAGTCCTAGAAAGGCTGCCAAACTCTTTCTTTTCCATTCTTTTTCCCCCCTAAAGATACCATTAAAAAAAAAAAATCACCAGATGCAGACTTTCCCATGGACAAATAACAAATAGCAAACTCAGACGCTCCAATTATGGGGCAGTGTCAAAACAAGCATGATTACAACAAAGGGTATTCATTCCTCGATGGTTATCAACGGTAAACACCTCAGTCCCAATCATGAAAATTGGAATATAACAAGGAAAGTTTAATATCCACTAATAAAGTGACTTACCATCATAACTATCACAAAACTTGTGGTATTTAGAGCATTGGGCCATTCGAGTCCATGTCCTTTGCACGCAACTGCTCCTAAGAAAACAAAAAGAGTGGTTATTTTTAAAAGGATAGCCAACGAATACGATTCCTAGTCAAATGTTTTCAAACGGGTATCTAGAAATTCAATGATCTCGTGCTCATGAAAATTCGGAAAATCTCTTATCCAATGCAAGCTTAAGGGTATAAAACAAAAAACAAAAGGTTAAATATGGATCCCGTGACTTTATTTTATGTTTGATGTATAAAATAAATAAAATAAAATAATAATCATCATATATTATATTTAACTTATATGCAAAGATAAGGATTAAATTATAAAAAGAATTAATTATTATATTTGCATGATATAATCAATCCTTTCAAAATAAAAAAATTATTTTTAATTTATAAAATTAAAATTTTATATATATTTAAAAATTATATTAATAATTTAAATTATAAAAACTTTGAAAAAAAATATAATTTATCTATACATCAAATATAAAATAAAATTATTTTATTTTATTTTATTTTATTCATAATATTAATTTATTTTATTTTATTTATAATCATATACACCAAACATGTCATTATTTCGTAAGATGTTAGATGGTATAAACTATCAAATGATGTGTTCGTAGACTAATAATGATGTTCTACTTGTGAAGAAAGCAATATCACAGAACACTAATAAATGCAAGGCAAATTTGCTACCCCTGTGTTTCACAATCTTTGGAATTTGTTTGTGCCCCTGCCATGACTTCATCTCCATGTAAGTGATCCTCTTAATGCCATGCAGTTAACGTCTTCTAACCACAATCAAATTTCATATCTGTTCTGTATTTATGAGTTAATGCTGTTTTGCTTAAAATGTCACACTTCTGTTTTGTTTAAAATGTCACACCTCAGAATGCCACCAAGAGAACACATGCTTAGAAGGTTTGTGCAACTGGCATGCAATTGATGCTTTATCTAGAAATAGATAGATATCAATGAAACAATACCACCGTGGTGGACTTCACAATGAAGAAGATGAATATACTACTCGGAGCCAAAAGCATAATTTTCCAAACTCGCTTTCCATTGATCTCTATAGGGGAATATTCCAACCTGCCAAAATAGCACACATAATACCAATTGGACCAACCTTCATTTGAATAATTTTAACCACAATTTTAAATTCTGCTCCTGGTTGCCGAATCATGTCCTCTATTTCCGAGGTAAACCAAGCATCTGCCAAGAGGGAAGTAAGATATTTTGAAGTGAGATGTAGACTAGTGTCAGTAAAATCCATCTAGAGACCCATTTTTCCTATGGCATTTTTTTAGAGGTGTTGTGGGGGTGGATTGCAGGGAGCAGAGGGTGACAGAGAGACGGCACGGGAGGGGAGGAAAGCTTTGAGTGACTTGAACTTGCTTGACTTACTGCTTAAGGTGATTCAACTTGCGTAATTGGAACATAGAAAGCATTGTCAACTATTAGCTACTTCAGGAATTGACCCAATTATCAACTCATCACAAAAGCATTTATCAAACAATGGATCTAAATAAAATGGCTCGTATTTTACAACCCAATATAGAAAGGGTTTGAAGTTGGGATAGATTTTGGATAAAATCCTCTTTCCATTCATATTTTACAGCCCAATTATTATAGCAAGACAGTGAAAGTAAACAACCTGTCATGCAAATTGGACTGCTGTCCTTACGAAAACTCAAAACGCTCTGGTGGAAGTCTGTATCCTCCTCAGTGTTTAGGCTTGTGAATCAAACTCCTGCATAAAGAAAAACATAAGGGTTTTTTTGTTCTGATTTCCTCCCATTGGAGTCTCAAGCTTTTCACATGGCTCGTCATTTGTGATGATGAACACATTAAATGGAAGTAAATAGAACAAGCAGTTCACTTGGAAAGATATTAATGGAAATCAAGCCAATGAAAACAATTTGAAGCACCCTGCTTATAGAAGAATATTGTCATAAACCAAATTATTAGGGTCACACATTGAAGATTAGAAAACGCACCCTTCAGTATTTTTCTTCTAGTTCTTAGTATTGCTGGTGTAGTATATGCCTCCAGGAACTATAGTACTCTGAAGCAAGAAATTGGTCCTTAATTTTTTATCAAACCTATCATTTTTTATTTCTAATGGACATTAATACGATAAAAAAAAAAAGGCCATAGACCTATTATCCATGTTTCCTGTACATTTTAACAGAATGTTTATGTAAGTCACAGACCAGCTTCTTTACTGTTGCTCCAATTTGACTTCCTCGAGGATGACTGTGATAGTATTGCTCTAATTCCTAATCAGAAACTTTCTGCACAGATCATTCCACTCTTACCAGGAAATCATAGTTCATTATAGCCCATGGATCATCATAGAACATATCAACATGCAATAAATGTGTACTATTTAATCAGATTCTGTTTCACATTGCAGAAAACTTCAATTTTACATCGGAAGTTGAAAGTTCAATAAATCAAGTTATAAGCCTGAAGGTCCAAAGCAATTTTCCACATAAATATGCAACATAATTACAAGGTACACCCAAAGAATCAATTTACTATCCACCATTTTATTTTGATGATTACCGTCCTCTCCACATCAATTACAAATAGCCTAAAGAATCAATAGCCAGAATTCAAGTTAGTAATAGACTAAGCTAACTCAGCCAGCAAAGCAGTTATTCCTTGATTCAATCCTGCTTTACACCTGTCAATTGTCCTACTTCTTGAACCAAATTATCGAGTAAACCGCAGCTGGTTGCAAATGGGGATAACACATCAAAATTTACAATAAGACTGGAAGTTTCAGTATTGAAAGTAAGGTGAAAACATATATAAAGGAGTTAAACAATTGGAATGAACCACACATACTGAATCCTAATGTCCATTTTGACTAGCAGCAACCAGCCCATAACCTCCATTGTTTCCCAGATCACAAATTGCAAGAACATGGTTATACTCACTTGGATTATAAACCTGTAACAAGAGAAAAGCTCCTGGTAGTATTAGACTGAACAAGCTATAATCTTATATAATATCAAGCAGAATTGTCAACTGAACAATATATATTTGACATTCTATGATCCTAGCAGTAGTAGACAGTAGCAAGACAAGGTAGAGAAACCAATTCAATATCAAGTTGGAAACATTCTTAGGCAAACTTAGATAAACATAAAAACACGGAAATTTTGTATGATTAAATTAGTGTATGGAAACCAGAAAAATTCAATAAGCAAAACGAAAAAAAGGTAATAGCCATTACCTCAGCAATCGATGTGGCTACGCTTAAACCAGCCAATTCCTGACAATTTCACATAAAACTGAATTCATTCAAGCTTTAAAACAAAAATCGAAAAAAGAAATAGACAATGAAACAAATGTGTATTTAAGAAATGTAGTTAAGAAACGCGAACTAACCATTAGCTGATTAACACTAATGCCAAGAGGACCCATGAGCAACTTCTCGCTGCATTAGGTACGAAATAGAACCCTGATTTTGCAGCGACGACGCCATTCCTCCCACTTCACCTGGTTTCTAATAGAACGCAGGGAACGCTGGGATTGCATGGCTGGAAATTGGACATTTTGATGGTGGGCTGGAAATTGGACATTTTATCATTGTTTCCTTTGCTAACGATATTTTCGCAAATGAATTGGTTAAAATTTATGTTCATGACTGATTTTAATTTCAAATTTTTTTTTCCTTTGGAAAGGACTATATAAAACCATAGTGAAATTGAAGAAAATTGTCAAATTAATTTTACTTTATATCTTAATGATCGTATAGTACAAACTTTTGCCGATTTATATAACCAGTCTAGCAAGGTAAAAAATGCAAAATTATAGAACTTAAAAATAATTTATGATGGGCATTTGAAAATAAACAAGCTTTTTTGGCTAAGAATTAGTGCTATCACAAGCAGATGATTAAAATGATTCTGCTTTCACTTTTATGCTTCTAAGGCACCCTCTTTGCAGTGTAATTCGTTTTCTTGTTTCTCAGTTAACATCTTTTGAATCCTCTCCAGGAAGCTCAGCATTGTCTCTAATCCTTTGTCATCTGGAATTAACAAAAAAGCAAAGAGATTCTATCAATCACAATGAAAAATTAATGCAAAGTGTTATTGTCACAACCCGAACTCAAGAACTATTAATCGAACAACTTTTCGAACTTATACCTTTATATGGACTTGTACTTATTATTCTCATTGCACCATCATGTCGTTTTATATCTTATATGACTTAACTCTCTCTCTCTCTCTCTCTCTCACACACACACACACACACACACACACACATATATGACTTAACTCACATTAGATAAGCACACACACACACACAGGACTTAACTCACATTAGATAAGTAACACACATATATATAATATAGGGATAAGTTATCACAGTTAACCAGAAGAAACAATTTGCATATATTTTATTATATAAATTACCCACCAAATCTGGGAATAGTGTGGCCCTTTGGATGATGAATAACAACAGGATCTACAAAGGATTCCAAGAGCTTCAATCCATGTGGTTTCAAGAAATCCGTGTCTCCTGCAATAAAAACAGGCTTTCCTGAATAAGAAACAAATATATATATATATATATATATATATATATAATATAGCACCGTTTGAAACAGGGTTGGAAAATGAGAGTCAGTTAAATAAACAAACGTTACATTCAAGCCAAATGCTGGCTCATGTAAACTAATTTATTTCAGTATGACAAAATAAATCTCCTATTTGGTTTTATCTTTTTTCATTTTTATTGGAATAGTTACAACAAGGTCAAGGGAACTAAGCTTTCTTTCACCAAGGAATTATAACTCTAGCAAGAAATTTTTTATTGATTAAAGGTGAAAATAATATGAACATCTAAATACAAACTCAACTCAATCACTAATTCAAGTCATTTAGTTGGTATTTTTTTTCATATTTCTCAATGAAGATAAGCAAATTTTGGTAAAATAAAACAAATATGGAAGACAGACCACAGTATACCTAAAAAGTGGATTGATGGGCATTGTATGGGGGGAGAATAAGCTTTCTCTGCCACTGATTCTGACCTGAACTTAGCCCCTCCAATTATTATCAAAAACTTTATTTTGGCAACTTTCGTGAGAGCCACACCCTGCAACCATAGCCAAAGCCATCCACGTGGCATGATTCCTTAACCCTTATTTGTGGGCCTAAAAATGGTTTAAAGATTAAAAATATAAAATTGGAAACATGAAAGGCAGTTTCAACGCACCTTCGCCTGCAGTCCAGGCAACCCAGCTGACAAGATGGCTCCCTGGACGAATATTCAATAGTTAAAAGATTCCTTCAATTCGGGTGAATAAAAAAAAAAAAACCCAAACCGGAAAAGAAAAGAAATGGAATATAAAAGGATTACTTCAATTCTCGGCAACGGCAACCAAACAGAACAAACCTGTGAAAAACCTAGGAGACCATCGAACGGTCCTTGCTTGATCATAATATCTTCGATATAGGCAAGACACTCGTCAAAGTTTGTGTAAATCGTAAATTCCTGAAACAAAAAACAACAACAAAAAGAAAAAGTAGAGCCATGTTTCTATTCAGCTGAAAATCTCAGGCAAATATTAAAAATTTAAGAATAAAACGTGTAATAATTATTTGTTTACCTTGTTGAACTGAAACCACTCGTAATAAGGAGGATCAAAGATCCCTTCGACGTCGGATTTCCCCTCAGCTGGAAAAGGCGCATCGGGGTAAACAAGGTCAATCTTTTCCAATACTGATTGAGGCCACTTGGTCTCTATCTGTTTCTTGAGAATCGCTCCACTTGTTCTGAATCCATGGAGGCAAAGAAATCTTGGTTTCCTGACAATCTCAGCTTCACTTCCCATTTCCTTTAAAAAAAATTGCAATCTTTCCACCTGGCTTCTGGTTATTTTAGGGGAGTTTGGGTTGCCATTTTTATAGGCCGGCCAAGGACGATAATATCGTGTAAGAATCATCTCATTTAACGCGTTGGAGTGGAGGGCAGATAAGTAAAAACGATAATTGGAAAGAGAGGTTTATGGAAAGTCAAGTCAAAGAATTTGACGGTGAATAAAGTTCGTATGATTCTTTTGAACGGCTATGATTAGTCTGTTTCATTCCTCACGTTTTCTCCGTTTCCCACTAGGAAAGGCGCAATTAAACTTGTTTACGGTTACGGCTCGAGCTATTCGTCCATCTATAGGATCTTAAACACGAATTATTCAGTTCGGACTTGAAATATTAAATTATTAAAAAAATATTTTTTAATTTAAAATACTAATATTTTAATATATATTTTAAAATTTTCACTCTCTTGACATCTAATTTTTGGATAAAATTTTAAAAAAATTGATCAGGCTCTTTTCGTATATAGATTTAGTTGTAATATAAATCTTATATAAATATATAAAAATTAAAATTTTTGATAAAAATTTTAAAATTTTTAATATGGATAGCTTAATATTTTTATATGTAGATGGTCTTTAACAATCATCCAATGTCTTGTATTTATTTTCATTATATATATGAATTAATTTGATTTTATGTAAATTTTAAAATATTTTAATGTATCAATTATATTTATTTTTTTTAATTTTAACTAATTTATCTTTTATTTTAAATAAAATATTCTAATATATATATATAATTTAAAAAAGCATTTTGAAATTTAAATGAATCCTTTAAAATTGATTTTCATAAATTATGCTTAATTTAATTTGCACTAATGTAAAGCCTTCCTATTCTGTATTGTATCAAAAAATCTATTATAAATATGGTTATAATAAATGACAACGGTATCATAAAAATATTAATGGTGATATTTACACTTTTTAAGTAAAAAATATAAACAAACCGTTTACAAATTGGTTAGAGAAACTAAGTTTAAAAAAATCAATTATTGCAATTTTAAATAATTGAATTAAAATTTCTTGTTTGAAAGTTGAACATTTACAAAAAAACAAAAAAAAAAAAGGTAAAAATCGTCAAAAAAAAATAGTACACAATTTTGTTTTTAGCTTTTTTTTTTTCATGATAATGATATAAATTGAAACTAATCAAAAAATTCATAATTTAAAATATAAATTATTTAAAAAATTTGTAATTACGAAAGAGTATAATACATTTACCTTGATTTAAAACTAATGCAATTGGAGAATATGATAGATTTACCTTAATCTAAAGCTATTGTTATCTTCTAAATAATGCTAAACTACATTAAAAAAAAAAAAAAAGGAGATTTGAGGGGTGTGCAAGGAGACAGACCTCGAGCTATTAACAAGTCCTAGAAAGAAGGGGTCAGAACAAGAGGAGTCGGCAGTTAGCTGCTTGGCAACCAATCCACCTAAGGGGAATTGATCAATCCCAGATGAGTCCATGTGGCAACGGTGATTAGAAGAAGATAATATTCCATCATGCGCACCAAGGGATTAGGTTCTTTTACCATTTACGCGATCTTTGAGGTACAGCTAAGATCCATTCCCGCGTGCCAAGTGAGGCGGACCATTTAGCTAAGCTTTTTGAAGGGAAAGAATAATGATTTATTTAGTGAATATTTAAAGATACCCTATTTCTAATAGATTTTTTTTGGGTACAATACAAAATAGGGAGATTTTACGTTAATACAAATTAACTTAGGTATAACTTATGGAAATCAATTATAATGGATTCATTTTAATTTTAATTTTTTTTAATTTATATCTATAATTTAAGATATTTTATTAAAAATAAAGGTAAATTGATTGAAAATTTTAAAAAATAAATATAATTGATACATTAAAATATTTTAATTTTTTTATGAAATTAAATATATAATGATAATAAATGCTAGACACATGATGATTGTTACAAACTATTCACATTAAAATTTTTTTATTTTTATTAAAAATTTTGATTTTTATATATTTATATAAAATAATTTTATAAAATTTTATATATTCAAAATAAATTATGAATGAATGAAACTTTCACTTAAACTACTATTTTAAAAAGTTTTTATAAGATAAATATAATAATTGTATTTAATTATTATTGAATGAATGCTCGGATGCATTAATCATAACAAAATTTATAATGAAAAATAAATTAAAAAAATCAAATAAGAATAAAAAATAGTAAAATAAGAATGGTTCACATTACATTTCGAAGTTGTTAGTTCAATATATCGAATTTTATTTCAAGATTAAAGATTTCGAATTCAAACATTAATAATAATTAAAAAGATTAAAAAAAAAAAGTTATTTATAAAAGTATCCAGAGGCCTCCCCTCATGTACTTGATCCTTAATATTCTTTTTATTTAAACTCTTTCAAGTAAATAGAACAAAAGTAATAACCGAACAATATTTAAATTCAAAATAATGATGCTCAACGCCTTCAAATGCTTGAGCTAATTAATTTTTTGGGGCTATACTTGTTGCTTAAGTATAAATTATGATAAACATAAAGTATTTTTTAACAATATTATACATGACATATAAATAAAACAAATAAATTAATAAATTAGTACAAATTAAATACAAACTTAATATAAGAGAAATTGAAATGTAGAGTTGACAACAAGTCGAGTGTGAGTTTTTATTTATTCTGAACTCAATTTGATTCGATTCGATCAGATATTATATAAATCATATTCGACTCGAATTGAAATTAATAAAATATTATTTTTAAATATAAATATTTAAATATATAATTATATAAATGTATATAAATAAAAAATTAAATTTATAAATTAATTTTTATATAATATCAAATTAAATCGAATTAAATTTATCTAAAATCTGATCTTAATTTATTATTAGCATTATTCGATTCAATACAAAACTCGATTTAAAAAAATATAATCTTATAAATCGAATCGAATTAAAATTCATTAAAAGCAGATTGGGTTGCTCACCTTACTGAAATGAGAGATATTAAGATTTCATGAGCCTTTTTTACGCTATAAAATCAACTTCACATGATGTTGCATGCCTTCTACGTTTTCACGATTCTAATGAATCTCTTTTGAATTAAGAAAAATTTTGATAAAAATTTTGTTTCCGAACTAATTTTTTTTCACAGAAATTCACAATTGACCGACCTTTGTCGTGCAACATCATCTCCAATCAAACCTTTCATGTGTAACTATTCATCTGATGTTAAAGCGTTGAAAATTTTGTCATTAAGAAATGAGTTAATCTCCATTTTCATGTGATAAATTTTGATAATTTTTTTAATAAATAAAAACGGTCTATCACACCTCAAAGTAAATCGAAAATATAAAAAAATAAAAAAATATTTTTTATTATTACACTACAATTAATTAATTATAATTTAAAAATTATATTACATTAATTAAAATTTATATAAAATTTATATCTATTAATAATAAATTTTTGTATAAAATTTTATTATAATTAAATAATTATCACATCATAATAAAAATAATTATAGGTGAAATATTTCAGTAAACAATGGTTGCAAACAGGATAGGGAGATAAAAAAAACGAATGCGGCCCCACTCCATTTGGGTTTTGTCAACTCGGAGGCGTTAAAATTTGAAGGACGGGATCACGCGTAAATAAGCTGTTGAAAACGGACAGGACCAAAAAAAAACGGTGGAAAAGGGAAACGGAAGTTTCTAGCCCGACACGATTGTAAGCCGTAGATATCTCTTTTTAACGGCGTCATCATTGAAAAAAAGAGCGTACCAGATTACGGTTCCGTTATTGCTAACTCTTGAAACCTTCAAATCGGGCGAGTATCGCGTCAATTTTGTTTTTTTGTTTTTTTTTTTAAATCGGAATCCCCTTATCGTTCTAAGGTGTTTTCCTCTCATTTTTCTCTTCCGTTTTGATGGCGTCTACTACGAACCGAACTGGTGGCGATTCCTTCTACGGCGGTGCGGCTCCTTACCGATCAAGGTTTAATTCTATTCTTTTTTATTTTCTTTTCTTGAATCTCTTTGGATTCAATTAATTTATGATCAGGGGATTGGAAGGTTTAGAATTTCTTGGCTTTCCTTTTTCATTTGTTTGTCTGAGCTATTTTGATTATTGTTAATATTGAAATAGGGAGGGTTTAAGCACGAGACCGGTGGCTAGCTCCGGCGAAATACAGTTGCGAATTGATCCGATGCATGCCGAATTGGACGATGAGATCACGGGTCTCCTTAGCCAAGTTAAACAATTGAGAAATGTAAGACTTTTAATTTATTTATTGATTTATTTTCTAATTTGATATTATATGATTCATTTGATCTTTTTTTTTCCCCTTTTTCTATTGGATCATTGGTTGAAGTGCATGAATGATATTCAACTCGTAACATTCAACAAGATCTTGCTGATAATTTGATGCGATTTTTCATCTTCGTTTGTTTGGCTTTAAGGATTTAAGCTAAATTGAGTGTAATTTATTCCTTAGATGAAATCCTGTCATGCATTTGTATATCTTTCCGGTTTTTAGCAGTTGTCTTGATAATCTTATCAGTATTGCTTTGGTCTATATTTATTTTTGGAAAGAAATTGGAAACTAGACCAATATCGATAAATATGGAAGGTCACTCTAAATTTAGATAAATCAGGCTTATAAGCATTTATCTTCCTATGGTATCCGATATGTTTTTCCTTTTTTGGAGTTGCATCAGTATTTTTTTTTTTTTTTGTGGACATATATCATTATCTTTATTGCAAAGTTTAGCTTGTGAGTTATTTTTTTGGGGGGGGTGGGGGGGGTACATTTTTTCCATTCTATTCATGTATGTAGCTTTAACCGGCTGAATCATGTGAATCTTAAGGGTTGTCTTAACTTGGTTCTTACCGAAAAATATTGCTGCAGGTTGCTCAAGAGATAGGATCAGAAGCAAAATTTCAGAAGGACTTTTTAGATCAGCTGGTATTTATTACTGCTAAGTGCACCCTTGCTTCACATTTGTTATCTTTATGTTCATTGCATGCTATGAATCCTTGCTGTGACGTTTTTATTGCTTCCATACTAGAATTACCACCTTAGTCTATCATACACATTTTGTGGTTTTGCTATAAAATTGCAACAGTCTTTTATAGTGAAGTGAAATGATGGAGGGAGGGGAGGGGGAATAGAATTTTTAACTATTTGAACTAAGGAAGTGTTACAAAATAACATGAAAAAGTGGGAAATGTAAATTCTTGCTTATCTGTGCTTGATAATGTATTTATCATGTGATTTCTCTATTGTGTAAAAGATAGTGATGAGCTCTTCATCTGTCACCTAAAGTTCTAGAACTAATTTCCCCTCAGAGTTTGTATGGGCAGGAAACATCTTCTTTGCCTCTTCAGTTTATATGTTGTATCATGCAAGTTCATTTTAACTATAGTAGTGAAATTTGATGTACCCTGTTGTTCTATAATTCATCCGGTCATTCTTTGCCTCCATCTCTTTCTATTTTATGGTAGACATTCTGGCAAAGTTCTGTTAGCTATCAAGTGGTGGTAGTGGCTAAATGCAAAAGCAAACGGCTAGCTGTTCTTGATAATTAACATTTTGATGATTTCAACTTTTAGCTACCATGATTCTCCTCTTTCTTTGATGCCCCTTTTATTAAGCACATGTACAAACATGCATGCAGAATGAGTTCTTTTTTCATTGTTTTAATGGTGATATTTCCGCTTAAGATAGCATGGCATTACCTACATCTAGGTAGTTGTGCTTTGATGTTTATATTTGGAAAAATGTTTTTATTTTCCCGCTTTCTGAATGTGCAATCTCATTTTATGACAGCAAATGACCATGATTAAAGCTCAAGCAGCGGTGAAGAACAACATTAGGAAACTGAACAAGAGCATAATCAAGCATGGTTCAAACCATATTGTTCATGTGGTTCTTTTTGCACTGTTTTGCTTCTTTGTTGTCTACATGTGGTCCAAATTGGCCAGATGATGAAGTTTGGGAGACCACTGAGATTGAAAATGGTGCATAAATGCTTTTTTCTTCGTGACTTTTATCAGTTTTAATTGACCTAGAAAATATTGGTTCTGGGTTTTTCTTATGCTGTGGTGAGACACTAGTTCTATCCTACAAAAGAGGAGATATTGTTGATTCATTAATCCATAGTTGTAATGAATAATTATATGGTCCATGCTCTAGCTAAAAGTGCTTCACAACACTTGAATGGAAGTGTTTATATTAAGTATCCTCTTATGTCTTTTGTACTGAATAATGGGGCTTTTCAATGAGTCTCTTGTTTCGTTTGGTGAATTGCTGATTCTCACTTGGTTGACGATGGCTGCCAAATCTGCTAAGATTCCGTTTTGTCTGATTTGCCATTGTTGTATAGCATTTTGAATATTGAGCTATGGCCAATAGGATTCGGTTTTATACCCCATCATGATTGCCGGTATGGGGCATATCAACATATTATCATTTAACCTAGATAATACCGTATGGTTTGTCTCGAGAAAACAATCAACAATGTTATATGTAATTCCTCTTTCCAGTATCAACTATCTCCGATCTCAATCCCTCACTGATCTCTGAAGCTATTTTGAAGTCTTTGTATTCATGTCTTCCCCCTGAAAAGAGCAGGAAATTCCAGGCTTAATATTTTTTACCTCTCATCCTCCTGAGTTGCCCAGAATGGGGAAATGCCCAGGCTACGCACATTTTTTCAGCAACAACTTGATTATGTCACAGATGACGGAAACTTTCATTTCCGACATCTGAACACACGCCTGTACAACTGAGGAGAAAAACCGATTTGATTGGCCACTGAAATTACAAACAGGGCAGGTTAATTCTAAATCCCCAGCTCATGAAACAGAGGAAAGAATCATGTCGGTGGCATCAGCAGGCTCAAAATGCTCTACAGAGGTTGTTAGCCGTCAGATTAGATGAACACTGCTGCTCTATAGGACCCGTGGTACTACAAACTTTGCTCCTCTTTGGTTCAGAAATCCTCACGTGGGAAATTCCCACAGCAAGCACATCCACCACACCATTGTCATCTTGTTCCTCTGACTTGCAGCTTGAACTATTGGACGTAAAATCTGGCTGCGGACCTTGACCATGAGAGCCACAATCTATCCTCCTCACACTTAACTCAGATCCAGGAGAATCAAATATTTGGAAAGAAGGTCCTACTTGGTTCTTCGACTTTGATTTAATGGATAATGCCTTTAATGAGCGCTCAGTCTTGAACAATATCCATGGATGCCTTGAAATTACATAATTCAAATATCAGCAAGTGAAGTCTAATGATTAAGCTAGCTATTACAAGAACTATAGTGTTAGTTCCTATTCAAGTTCTAAGATAAATTTCACATCGAATAACAGATTGTTTTGGGAAAAAAATATAACAAATTCCACATAAATTGAAAAAGAAACAAACATAACATGCCGCAGAAGCAATCCTAAGGGGAAAAAAAAGAGAGGTAAAAATAGATGAATGAATCACCTTATGATGGCTCAACACCTTACCATATGTAATTGTCAAAGTTACATAATTCATTGATGAATGCAAGCCTAATTCACAAACTTCTATTAAATGTATGTATTAGTTACCTATTCTAGTATTTCAGAAAGATAAAGTTGGGGCTTTACTTGGTACTTCATTGGCAGTTATTCTAGATGAAAACATCCTTTGTCAGCATTCTTGCCAATGGATCACGTGCAGGTTTAGATAGAGATTCCCATAACCCTGAGTGAAAATCCAGCTTTACATTCTTGATGGCCTCAAACACTTCCTTCAAGTAGTCTCCTTGAAATGGAAGAACACCAGCACTCCATATATCGACCTTCTCAGAATAATTTCCCAACAGAACCTCAGGTTCCAGCCAACCCAGGCAAAGTCTGACCCGTAGCAAATAGTAATTTGAGTCACTCAGAAGCATTAGGCACAGCTTAAAACGGAGACGAGTAAATACTAAACAGACTTGGACATAGAAAGGATAATATATAAAGGCCAGATAACAACTGAGTTTCTCTTCATCATAAGCAGACGGGAAGATAGGTCTTTTTGTTTCATGCAACAACTTAATTCCCCATCTACCTCTTCCTTCATGCATATGTGCGACTGGCATTTGCTGCCAATCTCAAAATAAACATGTCTTCAGATATTCACCATTGGAAATTCTCGTGGCAAGACCAAAATCTGCCAGCTTTATCTATCATGAAGTTGTGAGAAAAATATTCTTCGGCTCTATATCTCTATGCACAACTCCCATCTCATGACAGTTTTTAATGGCTAACATCACATTTTCTTTGCACCTCCTTTTTAGCTTGGCATAATCTTCTAACGAATAATGAGACCTAACATTAGATGATCTCCGGGGATGCATCGGTTTCACTTCCTTTCCTCTTATTTCTCATCAAGTCAAGTATCAATTCAAACAAACTTATCTAAAACTAGACCTTACATACATTTAAGTTTCAGAAAAATTACAGATAATCGAAAATATCTAATTTCATAGCACAAGCTGTTCTGCTTTCTTTTCCTGTAAATCAAAAGCAAAAAGAAACGATTAACAGAAAAAAAGGCAAATAAAATAAAAAACTTGATTCACTAAGACACAAAATGTTGACAGCCCCCAATTAAGTCAAGGCATTAAAAAACTCTTATTTAATTAAAAACAGAAATTTTATTTAAAAAAGAGAAAATCAAGATGCTGAGTCGATCCTGTTTGTTTTTTTCATGGATTCTCCTGGGGACCCTATTGAACCTTGATCAAAATCCTAACTTTATTCTATTATTATTCACAATTTTCAATCTAATCATAAAAATTAAACGAACAAAAAAAAAAACAGAATTTAAAGGCCAAGAACAAACCTTTAAACAGAGCAAAAAATCCTCCAGATTCCACAAAGGGAGAGCCAGGTTGAGAAATGGTAAAAAAAAAAAAAAAAAGAATAAGTGAGAATTAGAGAAATTAGGTAAGTAAATAATTGGGAAAAATCAGGGGAGAGAAATTTGGAGGATCAATTTTATACACATGTAAAATAAATTATCTATATATATCTATTTTATTTTTTATATTAAAAACAATCTCCAAGAATTGTTTTGTTGATTTGTTAATAAAATATATTTTAATTAATTAAATTAATCTACTTTATATAAAAAATATTATTTGTACTGTTTTTTATAGTTTCATGATTCATCTGATTACCAATTAGACTGTTTTTTTCTTATTATTACATTATTAATATTTCCATAAACTATTAGCCAAGCAAAGTTGGAACATTTTAAACACTTTCGAGACGATTGGGAACTGATGGCATTTCTTTTTCAGGAGAGACTGAGAGTGCAAGAGAAACACCTTTCTCTGCTTTAAAGTTTTCTTTATACAAAATTACTGCCAGAATGGCTGAATCTGTGTTACAATAACCAATAGCAAAGATGAGGCACCAAAAATTATTCCTATCATTCCCAAGAAGAAATTAACACTGCCATATTATTGCACTCCAAATCGCAACAACGTAGTACTTTTTTTGTCCAAGCTCGAATTCCCTTGCTTCCCTTGGAATTACTTGTTTTTCCAGGGAAGAGAAGGAAAAAGAAGAAGAAGCCTTGTTTGACAGCGAATGGTAGGTCTGGAGCCCCTTTTTCGTATTGTTGATGGTGCAAACTACATGTGAGTTTTATATAGAATCATTAGGAATGTTTTCTAACACGAATCTTATTCTTTTTGCTGTCTAGACTTGCAATGGAAAAACTCCAGATCTTGCAACTGAGAACTTTATGATGTCGATGGGTCCCCGTCCCTCTGCCTATAAGACTTTCTGAACTGGTATGCAGTCTGGGATGGATGGGTTTTGTGTCCTTATGCTGGTCCAATGCCCTATATGACTAGGTCCATCGGACATGCCATTTGGAGGTGTCATCAGTAATGCCTCCAGTCCTTATGACTACTATGGATGAAGAGGATATGCATGTAAAGATTTTCAAATAAAAATTTCATGAAATTATAAGGATATATATCCAAATAAAATTTTATTAAATTATTTATTAATTAATTTTTAATTATTAATTTTTTAAAAAATATATTAATAAATCTGATGACGAAATTTTTTTAGAGTAAAATATTAGTCTATATGAATATTTTTGAAAAAAAAAAAATATCTTCAATTGTTAATAATTTATTGAAGTAATTTGAAGATCAATTTTTAATAATTAAATTATTGGATAAATTATAAAAATATTTTAAGACTTGGATAATATGAAAATAAACTAGTATCATTTTTTGGATGGACGTTATGAGGGTATTATAATATTTTTCATACGTAACCGTATTTTTAGACCTAATTTTGATTTCGTAGATTATAATTTATCTTTTAAAGAAACTAAAATCAAGTTTGAAGACTTTTTTTTAAAATGAAATAAATTCAGTTTAATAATTAATTACATCTAAACAAAAAATATTGGTGACAATTTTTTAAATTTTATATAACGATATATTCACGAATTTATATATTATGACAATCATCATATATAATTATCAATCTCAAAAACCTTAAATCTTAAAGTATGCATTTATCGTCCACAATACCTTTTATAATTCTTTTTAATTTTCCTTAATGTGGAAATTTTTTAGCAAATTCCTTGTTCCGGCAATAATGGCAATTTGTTTATGCTAACCAAGTTGAGCTAGCAATATGCCAAAAAAAAAAAAAATGAGGCAGACAAAATCTCCCTAGTCATGCATGTTTGAAAAATCTGCCTTTTTCTTTACACTGATTTAATAATACAATAAACCAGATGGTTAACCGTGTGAAATCTGACAACCAGCTATTAAAGGCATGCTTCTAAGTTTCGATTGGTTCCTTAAACACGAAACCCTAAGTCATGCTCTAACTTCGTATGTAAATCACATATAAGGTCTTGATTACTCTCCCAAGTTGCTGTTTTATATATATATCTAGGTGCTGAATCTAATATTGGTTTTGGATGTTAGCCAAAAACATCAAGAAAGCTAGTTGGGATTCGGGAAATTGGCAAAAAAATTATCTGTTTATTCTGTACTAAATTTTGTCTCCAGCTAGCCCTGCAAGACTTTGAATGATACAGCCCTTGATTAGTTGAGGAAATTCTTTCTTTGCCAAAAAGGAAAATTTGATGATTTGTTGCAGAGCGGATCCAGTCGATCAAGCAGCTCATATTTGACACAAATAAACAAGTAATCTCAACATTTGGCAAGCAAGGCAAGTTAACTTAAATTTGCAAAAACACATCTCAATAAGTTATGAAAAATTGATCTTTCAAAAATACGAAAAAAAAAAAGAACTCAGTTATTTTTTTCCCTTAAATTGTGAATATTACTCTTAGTATATATTCAGTTATCATGTTTTTCTTGATTGCGAAAAGAGGATTAAAATCCATTTCTTTAAATTATTTCGACTCTTTAAGCATAAAATATGGCAATTATCAACAAGTCAATAAACTGTGTGTAAGACATCTTTTGTTAGCATGCGAAAGACTCATTTGGTATCGTAGACAAGTTCTCTCACATGAAAGAGTTAAGGTATATGAGTATTAGTTATATAAAATTTCACACTTATAAAAAGGGGAAAGGCTTAGATAAAATTTTTTAGGTGAAATTCACGACATTTTTTTTATTAAAAATAATTAAATAAAAATTAAAATTGATAAATTAAAAAATTATGTTACATAAATTAAGTGTATAAAATTTGAAAAACTTTAATAAATTTTGATATATATTTTTAGATAGTATTTTTTATAAAAATATTGACAGAATTTTTACCGTTTAATAAATATTGATCAAATTTGAACTATAAATAATATTTTTAATAATTTTTTATATATTATTGATCTTCATATTAAATTTTATCAATTTATCGATTTAAAACTTTTAATTAAAATTTTTATTAAATCATTTTTAAAAAGAATTTTACAAACTTCATATAAGTTTTATTTTATTAAAAGTATTATGATTCGAATTTAGCATCTATACTCAAATTTCACCTCATCCTTGCCGCTTTAACTAATGTTCTAACTCTTTTATATTTACCACCTCTTTCGTTAATTTAACTTCTATAATTAATCAAAAACTTAGGTCTCCCAAAAAATGTGAACTGAATTCATATAAGATTTGAAAAAAAAAATTCTAGAAAAGAATTGTGCTTATATATATTATATGTAGATATTGTTAGATAGAATGTTATAATTTGAAAGCTTCTACAAAATATGCAAGTTGGGATTAACATTTAAGAGGAATATATAACTTCATTAAACTTATATAAGCAGCAAAAAGCTTTCTACTCGTTCAGGCACACTGCACAATACTTTAAAATTGAGATTAGTGCCACAAATTTGACCGCGTGGTTGGCTTATTTTTCCAAATTATCAGTAATTTGCATTGGATATTAACTCTTTGCCAACGAATGATGATTCCAGGATTAAGAGTGAAATGTCTATATGTCAGCATGATTGAGAAGTTAAATGTTGGTGATTAATTAAAGACTTTGAATACTCAACCCAAAGTCAAACAATCCTACTACTATAAATAGTGCACACCCTTAGTGCCATTTTATCCAAATCTTTCTGCTTTTTAGAGCATATAACTCCCTTTAGTTTTCCCTGATAGAATGAACGCCTACCCATATTACTCCCCGCCACCACCCCCTCCACCTCCTTCTCCTCCACCCCCACCCCCTCCACCACCTCCTCCACCACCCCCACCCGACTGTAACTATACTATACCACCACCAACGCAACCTCCGGTACCCACACCGCATTATTGGCCTACTTCTCCAGCAATAACACCAAGACCACAACCACCATCAGGTCCACCTAACCACACGGCTATTATAGCTGTATGCGTCTCACTAGGAGGCGTCTTCTTTCTTGCATTGCTAGCTGCTTGTCTCTGCTGCTTGGCTAAGAAGAGGAAGAAGAAGATGATGATGATTCCTCCCCCTTTTGCCGTCACTGGTTACGATGACGAACATCAATATGTCCAACAGACCGTCTCCAGAGGTCCATACGGTGAGCAGACTGTGGCTGTCAACATAGACGACGACGTTGGAATCCATGAAATTGGTGAGGTTGATTCCCATGTTGAACATCGCACAAATGGCTCTCATACTGAAGACTATCTCAGAAATGGCTAACCTAAAAGGCTACAACAACAAGTTCCTCCTCATGTGATTATGCACCTGTTGTTTTGATTTGTATAAAGTTTGATGGGATTGGGCATTATTTGATATTGTTTGTTGTTGTTTTTAATTACTTGATATAAATTGTTTGGAAAGTGGGTCAAGGTCGAAAAAAGGGAAAAGCAAACATGAGTGACGTCGACCTTTGGTTTGGGCTGTTCGAACGTTCCTGCAATTGGCTGCCCTGCAGTGATACAATATTTCATATTTATGTTTTCTTTGTGATGATAAAGATTGAAGAATAAATGTTAGGTGCAAGATATTTTTTTTATTTTATTTTACCTATGTTTTATTAACCTATGCTTTTTTTTTTTATGTATTAACCTATGCTTTAATTGATTTTCTTTTTATAAGTTAATTTAATTTTAAAATGGTAATTATAAGATGCATGGATGACGTCTTGCATGCTTAAAACAAGAGTATAGATAAATTCAAAATTTATCCATTGACCCAAACAACTCATTTTAATTAATCTCTCATCAAAATAACGAAATTCTGATGACAATTACCCATATATATATATATAGTTGCGATTAAAAAAAGTTTTAATACAAAATTTACACTAATTTGATATTTTTGGAGTTGATATTTGGATTCAATTAAAGGTATAATAAGTTTAATAGCATCGTTTTGAAAGTGCGATAGAATCCAAACAAGGATTTAATTTTAAAATTCATTAATTTTCCTCTCATATATATATATTTATATATGTTTGAGTAGAACACATAGATTCCAATAGTACTTTTTGATACAACATAAATACTCCCTTGGTGGTAGGTTTCTTATTTAATTTCATGGAATTAAAAATATATATATATTTAGCTTTGGTGTATCTAATCACCATAAGAAAAATTAAAAATTTTAACAGTTAAAAATGAAAAAAAAAAATTTTTGAGGCATAAAAATAAAAAGGTGGATAAAAAAAAGACGAGGAAGCATAATTTAGTTAGACTTTTTTTGCATAGTGAAAACAAATATATATATATATATATGTGTGTATGCTTAATCGTTCATTTGTGACCCAAATCCCTACTTATTCAACTAAAAAAATCTTGCCTTCTTAATCAATTTTCATGCTGAGAGAATTAAGTAGCACCCTGGTTCATCGGCGACAAGAAGGGCTAACCATTGCTGGCGCTACAATAGTCAATTAGTTTCCCAATTTATATATAAATATATAAAAATAATTTTCTAATTAGTTTCTCAAGTTTCAATTGTTTAAAAATCAAGCCACTTGAACGTAGTGTTAATTGGTTTTATATGCATGGTCCATTGCATATTCAAGAGAATTAGGTTGCTTTGGGGTGGCAGGAGAGATTTTAATGATATTGTATTGTTTTTATGATTGAATCTCAAAATTATAATCATAAAACGAGCCGTGGTATAGTGGAAATCCGTCTGACCACGTTACTAAATGATTTTTAAATATACTTATAACTCGTGTGAAATAGAGATTATTGTTTGAAACATCATATCAATTCTAATTGCATTTGCATTTATATTTTCCTTGATAATGTTTAAAGGAATTAAACTAATTTGACTTACTGATATGAATAATATTTAGAAATATTGGAATTTAAAGGGGTGCTTACTTGCATTTCACATGCTTAAACTTCACTTTCTCACGCAAACTTTCATCAATTTGATACTAAGAGGAAATAAATTTCTTGCGAGCATTTACGAACTGTTTGTCTCATTGCCAACTTGGAATTGTATTGACCACGCAATCACTTGAAACATAGAAGCTTAGATGATGGTTAATCTTAATATAAAATAGAAACTCAACGTACAACACCATCTGGCATAGAATAGGGGAATCGGACAGGCTTGGTTCGAGGAAAGTCGAACTCTCGCATTGGGCCGTTTGAAAAACCTACTAATCGGCAGACTTGAGGGTTTAGCCTGACCTGTTCTCATTGGGCCCAGAGATGGAGGTTGGTGACTCTGACCAACTAATGCCTTAATTACGGTGAACTGTCTCCTGGTACCTAGTTCAAGCTCCTTTTAGCTTGGTGTGTGAAAGCTTGAACAAACTCGGTTAAAATTCCATTCCTTGATAGAGTTAAATACATGAATTTGCACCCAAAAAAAAAAAAAAAACTCAATCTCACTGATTTCATATCAGTCAAAATTGAACATAAGTGACTTTAGCTTGTTTCTATTCACTAATGAACTCCACAATAATGTATGAATGAGAGAAATTCGACTTGATTGGGCTCAGTTTGTACCACTACTTCTGGCTCCAAAGATTAGGCTTTGGGCAAGGCTACAAAACAAACTTACAGGGCTTTCCATCAGTTCATGGTTGGAGAAGCGACCATTCAGATTTGACAAGACAATGAAGACATGAAATCGTGTTCGTAAGAATCCCGCAATATTGTTAGACATGCACAAATAGAGAAGGTGTGAGCTTAGATCATCATCTTTAGAGTAAAGAGATGTCGATTGAATAGATGGCGATTAAGACATGATGGAAAAATTGAAAAGGGAAGAAAACCCATGTCACCATAATTAGGCGAGCTTTGATTGCAGAGGAAGTTGAATGTCTTTGGTAGCCTATACTGGTAACCAAAGAAAGTGGCTATACCAGGTTTCAAGCTACCTATAAATTATGTTTTCTTCTTGTTCTTAACTTGAAAAAGTAAAAAGATCGGTCGATTTCCTGCCATTACTTCATAGGTTTGTTAATTGTTCATTGTATGTGTGTTTTTCTTACCATAATCATCCATGATGATAGTTCGCCATTCAAATCAGAAAAAGCGAAAATCCAAGCTGAAATCAATCGGTTTATCTCTGACTTTCTCTTTACTGAATAACAACATGATGAGATCTCGGAAACAGATATCAGTTATATTTAAGTTGAAGCTTCAATCGAGTTCTACTTCAGGACTTGAAACAAAGGAAAATACATAAAACTTTATTCTTCTGAAGAGAACTTTCTCTTTAGAATTCCTCTTGTACCTCGTTGATAAGCATCACAAGGCTTGAGCTTTCATGCTTTTGTGGGAGAAGCAGAAAAAGGCAACCCAACTTATAGATAGTGCATGCTGCATACAATTTCTCTGCTTAACAAATATCGCACTCATAAAGCCAAAACTATATCTAGAAGTGTAAAAAATTTTACAGGGGAAGAATTGAATTCTTTCTTCTGCACCGTTCGGATGAGAAAAACCTTCCACCACAGGAGAATGATCTTTTCATAGGAACAGGACTTAAATGAAGATGCTGTGCAATGGAAGAATTACCCATTAGCCTAAACTCGATTGAGTTTGCTCCTTCTTGCTTTGGATTGATGCTTGAATGTGGGTTCTCAACATCATCTTGTTGATCATAAGAACTTCCTTCGGATTTAAGAGGACAGAAATTTGCCAAACCAAGAAACAAATTTGCAGCTGAAGAAGAATCCATGGAAACGCACCTTTTGATTAGTTGCATCTCTTTAGCCACAACCTGGCTACTGTCAATGCAATCACCGACTACCAAAGCGCCATTTTCATCAGAATAGACACTATCCTTTAAAATTCTTTGGTCAACAGCCTCTGGTAATTCACCTGCAGCGTCTGGTCTAGCCCTGTTTTCATAAAGCTCACTGCTTCTTCCCTGATTCTGACTACTCATTCCACGTCCAATCTCAGAATTTTCTATCTGGTTATCGACAACTAGATCCATGTTATCAGAATTTTGATATGTAGAAGTTGGAGGGGCAGAAACAGCATCAAAAACAATATGTGCTCGACACAAGGGACAATTAGTGTGAGCCCTTAGCCAAGTATCAATACAGGAAATATGAAAAGCATGATTGCATTTAGGCAATAACCTGACTGTCTCCTCTTCTTGAAACTCATTCAAGCATACTGAACATTCTGTCCCTTCAATCAATCCCTCACCCTTCTTGTACTTACAAACAGTAATCGAATTTATGATTGATTGTTGCAAACCAACGGTGGTGATGAACCAAATAGGATGATCAACTTGATTCTCATCAACAAACTCTTCATCTGAAGCATCAGTTTGAGCTTGTGGTTGCCTGTTATTCCTTGAGCAGCACCAACCAAAACATGACTTGACTTTAATGACATAGTAGCCAACAAGAAGGAAAAAACTGGCTAGTACAGAAACAAAGATGATGGCATAAGGTGAGATGTAATGGTTATGGTCTGAGAGGGGAGGAGGTGGCGGGGGCGGCGGCGGTGGAGGTAGATAATAATAGTCAGGATAAGGGTAGCAGTTGTAAGGGCAGGCAGGGTCACAGAAGTCAGGGGGGCAGTCTATAGTTTGGTTTGTTTCTGTAAGAGCCGGAAAAAGCTTTCTGTTTTTCATTGCTATGAAGAAAGAATTGAAGAAAAGATGGAAGAAAGAAACTCTTATGAGCTGTAAACTTAAACTTTTGTTTGAATTGGAAGAGAAGAAATGAAGAAAATCAAGGAACATGTCTCTTTCAGGGTTCAGTAAAGAGTAAAGACTGATTTGTATATGTAGTATGTGTTTGGTTGTGTTTACAAGTTAGTATTACGACAAGAACTTCAGAACTCAGCTAGTCTTTGCAAAGATTCCATAGCCAATTAGTTCATACTCTAAAGTCTAAATAATTTCTGCCGTAAGTACATTTATACGAGATATTGACCTATGGTGTCACTGAAAGCTATGACTTCAGACTTTTATTGTGTTTTACTCATGATCCATAGAATTTTCCACAATGTTTCAATTTTTTGGTGGCTGGTCCTAATCATGATGCTCATATTATATTTCAATTAAGTTGGATATCTATGATCAGGTTGCCTTCAGGTCATAGTTAGGGGATACTGTGTAATTGTCCAGTGAAATGGACCTCATAGCTGCTATTAGTATTATCAATCTTAATTATTCTTACTGACCCTCAAACCCGAACTTCAATGACGAAATATAGTGCCTTCTCCTTAGGTTTTTGGATGGAAAATTTAAATATGAGAGGGGTTAATGATACCAAGCTAGAAGTTTGCTGCAAAAGAATCCAAACCATCTGCTTGGGAATTTGGCATTGAAATCTAGTTGAAATGATCTAATTGATACTCTTTTAAACCTGCCAACAATCATGTGATAATGTTATATTATTAATCCCAATGATCAAGATTCAATTTCTAAAAAAAACTCTAATCCGCCGGTAGAATTTCTAAATTCACTGATAAGATCATTTTTTATTGTTTGAAACAGATAACCTTTAACCTACTAAAATCCCAATCAATTTGAGAATCCAGTTCAACGGAAGGGATGATAACCAGGACCTCCTCCTGAAAACTCAGGCCCAGTTTCGCATGAAACCGGCTAGTCTCTCTATTTTTGTGCCAATGAATGTATGAAGGGCTGGTCCAAATACAGGCTTGAATAGAATGAAAAACATCTTGGTTTTCGCTTATCCCCAGTTTGACTTGGCCACAAAAAGGAAAAATTCACTTAGCCCAATAAGGGAAAACAGATCCATGGAAATTGTTTGGGTTTGAAAGTGTAGAAAAGGTCATTAACAAAGACAAAATTGTTAGACCCATGATTTGGAGCCTAATGACTAACGGATATCTTGGTTAGTCGGCGGCCTGACTTTTAAGCACAAAATTGTTGGAAGATTTTATAAGCAAACAAACCAATGATCAAATATTACAGAATAAAAGGCAAAATTTTGGATATCCACTGAAAAAATTGGAAAGGATAATTAGGTATTTGTGCAAAATTCTTTGAATTAATTCTAAAAATCTAATTACTTTGTAATCCTATAGAAATTCAATTGTCTCAATTGTTTAGGATAAATCTATTTCAGCTTTTTTATTTGTTTGGTTACAAGATCTCACAGTTCATTTCAAACCAGTTACTGGAAAACAGCTGGTCTTGAATTAGAGAGAGGATTATGAAACTAAAAAAGAACGAGGAAAAACTTAGATGATGTTTTAAACAAATTTTTAATAATTATTTTTACATGTTATTTTTTTATTAAATTCTATTAATTTATCGTTTTAAAATAAAATTTTATTGAATATTTTTGGTAAGACATTCCATGAACTTTATTTACAAAAATTTTCTAAACCTTACCCGGTTAAAACTATCATATGTACTCAATCCGAAAGAGAACAATTTGAACTACGAATCAATACGTCAAAGTAATTTCGAGGAAATATCTTGAAATCATATAATAAAATTCAACAAATGGATAAATGAGGATTAGTATTCATTGACTTCAGGAAATTTATAATACTTGTCTTTCTTCCTAATCCGCGTAAACGACCATGCCTATAAAAACATTTGGTTTTCCACCGTTTCTTAGCTATCATTCCACGCCTAATAATTTCTTTAAGAAAGCCTCTAATTCACCAACCTCTTTTTTTTTTTTTCTCTTTTTCTTGATTGTGAATTTTCTCGTTTTTCTGGTAGTGCATAAACGTAAAGAGTTTCACAAATATTAAGAAAGCTGTACCTGTAGTATTACAAGTCATGTCGATTGCAGGATCCATGCTTCCATGCAAAGTTCGAATGGAGTACTGCAAATTTCAGTCACCTACCATTCTCCGTTGTAGTCATTTCTTGGTGATATCGAAACAAAAGGAAAAACATCAGATTGTAAGAAACCTGCAGAAGTTGCAATCCCTGGGCACGGGTCTAATTAGAGTGCAAAACACTGACAGATACAGGAACATGGTCGTCTGCAGCAGCGTTGGATCAGGACCTCCAACCCCTTCTGATCCTACTCCTGGTCCTGGTTCCTGGTTAGTCTTTTAACGTTCTGCTTTTTTACTCTTAAAAACGAAAGAAATCTTCTACTATTTTAATACTCTTCTCTAGTATTACAATGAGGTTTGTCACAGTCAAAATTCTTTTAGCAGGATACCTTGGATTATGGGAATTCTAGTGAGCATAATCCTACCCTTTTGGAGGGGCAATTGGGGTCGATTATTAAAACTGAAAGGTGAGGACTAGAATTTATTCAAATTTCATGTCATATCCGCAATATCTATCGGCTTCGTTAACATTTAATTACTGTTTATGTTGTTATATATGTGTATATAGATGAAGCTGAAACTGTCATAGACACGGTCGAAGCCTTTACAGACGTTGTAGAAAAAGTGGCCGAGCAAGTGGAGAACGTAGCCGATGATATTGGTAATCATCTACCGGAAGGCAAACTTAAAGATGCCTTTGAATTGGTTGAAGATATAGCTGAAGACACAGTTGACGGTGCACGCTTAGCTGGTGAAGTCATTGACAAGGTTTTTTTTTCCTTGCTATTTACTTAATCTCTTGTTTTTTTAGCATATTTAATTAATTATTAACAATATGATTATCAAGATAGTCGGTGTTTTATAACTATTTCCTATGTAGCTTCCGCACATGATCGTCAATTCAGCTTCCGGATCGAAATCCAAGAAATTAAAAACAACAAATTACTGATTTGCAATGTTTGGAATAAGATATTGACAAGCAGTCATATACATGACATAATATTACGTCAGATGCTTCTAGAAACTGACTTGGTCTTCATTCGACAGTCTAATTGAAATAATTATTTTATGTAAGTTTGACAATAAAATAAGTAGACATGTTATTTCTCTAGTTTTTTTTTTTTTAGATTAAAATTTAAGAATAAAAAAAATTACAAGCATAATTGAATTTTATAATCTTGTAAAAATCATAATCTAAAATAGGTAAATTATTTAAGTTAAACCTCAAATTCATTAGTTGTTGCATAATCTAGATGGCTAAAACTACATTAATTTCTTAGTATTTTTCCAATTGGTTGATTTTCTTTTCCTAGTTTAGGCTTCTAATTCAACTAGATATGTATGCAGGTAGAAGATATTGTAGATGAAGTCGAAGAAAAGGTGGAATCTTTGAGGGAACCAAAGAGTACCCATGAAGAAGCCAACGAGGCAACGGAAGAAGAAGCTAAGGGTCATGCTTAGGCAACACGTGCAGCTCTCTTTTTTAGCCTCAGATATGTTGAAATTAGTTTTTTTTTTTTTTTTTTTGAAGATGTTGAAATTAGTATTAATTACATTTTTAATTAAATCTTTCTCCTAATTATTTTACCCTAAACATGTTGCATTACTCGACTACAAAAGCCAAAACAGTTTTGGTTACAATGTGTAATACCGGTTCTATCACTTTTAAATTAAAAAAAAATTTGAAAGAAGAGTTCACTCTAAATGGGTTGCTGAATATTTTAATGAACAGTATGATATAATCACAGGTAATTATTTAATCCAATAATCATCGATTAATGTGGATAAAAATCTTGAAATTGCGAAACCCTCAGCAACGTAATTGGGCCGGGCTCCAATTAAAAAAATATTTGCCAGGTCAGCAGTGGGACCACTATAAATTTCCATTGGAGCTTTTAAACCGCAGCCTAACGGCTACTCATGTTCTCTCAATTTGAAACCACACCAGAGAGTTGAAACCTAAAGAAAAAAGAGAAAAAAAAATCCTTTCCAAAATCTCCCATAAATCTCTTGTTTTCTGTCTTCCTTTCAAAGACGCTAACTCCAAAGCCTCAGTATCATTAATCCCACTCTTTTACCCTACAAAAAAAATACCTTTTATTTTTAAATTATTGCAAGATCTAGGGATCATCGAGAATCAAATTTTTGAGTAATTGAAACCATGGACATCCCTCAAGAAATCGACGATTACATAAAAGAAACAATCGAAGATTCCTTAGGTCTTCAAATCCCTACCCAATCTTTGCAATTGAAACTCCGCTCCGCCGAAGAAGCCCAGCGTCGCCTCCGTGACCGGTGCCTGTTCCTTCTATCAAAATTGAAAGAGAAAGATCGAATCATTGAGCGATCAAAGGTCGGTTAACTGAAAATTATAAAAAGGTAATAATTTGAATATATTTATATTCAGAATGTGAATTATTGGACAATTTTAAATTTTTTTTGAAGGCGGAAGCGAATATGAATGCGGTGGCGTTGAAAAGATTCGTGGAAGAGAATCAGAAGCTTGCAGCGGAGTGTACGAATTTGTTGACTCAGTGTAACAAATGGGAGAAAGAGTGTTCGCTTTATGATCATGACAGGGAAGCGTTGATGGATTTTGGGAATGAGGCTGATGAGAGGGCAAAGGAAGCTGAGATTAGGGTTCATGAATTGGAAGATGAGTTGGGGAAGTTAACTGAAGAATTAAGGTTCTACAAATACCGTTGTGAGACTCAAGGGGTAAATTAAACATTTTTCATTTAATTTTTTGTTACTTTCTTTTGAATTCTTGATCTTTTGGGGGCAGCTAGCTTTAGCTACATAGAACTTACATTCTCTTAAATATTGCGATTTTGTTTGATTTAATTGTTGACTTGTGACTTCTTTCCTTAAAAAGGATAGGTTAACCATTTACACTTTGTTGAGCATGCATGATAAAACTATTCTTCTTTGTTGCTTATAAAGATGACATAAGTGGAACAAGATGAATGTGCTTAAAGGAGATTAATTTCAGTTTTTGATTGTCTATGATTGATTAGATAACCTCTCATCATATATGGTTTTCTATAGTACTATGATATCTACTAACTGATAAGCATATGCCTTCCTTGAAGATTGATTCACCTTCTGAGGGTACAACTTTGGAAGAGAATTTGCTTGAGTCGGTTCTAGCAACATTGATTTGTAAAGATGAAGTTATGTCTGGACGAGCATTCCTGGAAGAAAATAATTCGCTAGAATCACTTCAAAGGTTGCTTAAAATGTGGAACAGGTAAGGGTTTTCTTCTCTTACTTCTACGTTGCCTCTGCATCTTTGATGGTTAATGGAGATGTTTGAGGCATGCAATTAAAGAGGCATTATCATTTGCTCACTGCTAAGGAGTGAGAAGGACTACTCCCATATTTCTGAATCAATTCTTATGGTCTGTTGTGCTTTGCAGGTTGAGGCCTTCAACTCAAAAAGTTTTGTCACTAGCTGCTGAGGTTAAGACCCTTGAGAAAGACAAGGAACATCTCAGGATGAACCTTAGTAAAGCTGAAGAGGAGGTGAGAACAAAGAACTTTGGACACTGGATGCTTGTTGAAATTTGCATTTCCCTTGTCTGAACAAGATATTTTATGTATATAGGTCAAAGTTCTGTTTGAAGAAAACAACATATTGGACAAGGAGAACAAAAGATTATTGAGGCAATACCATAAAGAAAAGAACCTCCATGTTTCTGGTGGGACGCATACTGGTAGTACATCTGCAAAGGTGAGGAAGGAATATGTTGGATTCTCAATATTTGTTGGTGTTCACATGAGTGCTTGCTTTCACAAGTAAAAACAAGTGCACTTCCTGCATGTGTCTGGTCAGTAGTCACTTGTTCATTGATTTAATGCTCTATTATTTGCTTGACTCTCTCACAGACAAACAAGCGAAAATCAAGTCCCAAGATATGCAGCCCAATTGAGAAGAAGATTGACTTTACTGATCTAGATTCGGCAAGGAAGCCTCTGTCACCCCTGCTATATAACTCCCCTGACTCGAGAATGCACAAGTGAAGATATGATCTCATACATGATTGGATCTAACTTCTTGTCCATTGGTTATTCTTTGTATCGATCATGGTGTTAGACTTGGATTTTCGGATAGCTTTTCTGAAGCTACAGTGTGTGTAGTTTTCATCTTTTGCTTGTCTTCAGCATCGCTCTAACGAATCTGATGTAATAGAATAAAGAATTTCTCAAACTAATGCAGTAATAAGAAATTTTAGTAATTGATTGTTAGATTCATATTGTGTTTGTAAATCTCTTACCATGTGTTTCAACTACTCTGCATCTCCGGCCATCTTATTTTAATCACGCGAAGGGGACCGGACCGCTGGAGTTGTGAAGCAGGGGCGGCAAGCGGGTGGGGACTATTACCTGAACTGGAACCCTAGACAGCATCGTTTTGTTCCTATGCATAGTCTTGGATAGTTTTTCTTTTAGATAGTTATTCTGATATGGTTTTTGGCTCCCAAAAATTGAAAAATATCGACTTGTCTCAGTTCTCTGTCTCCTTCCTTATCTAATCCCACCTCTTACTCTCAGAAACCTAAAAGAAACCACTCTTTCAAACCTTCCAAAATCCAAACCCCAAACTCAAACTGAACATACTTGCTTTCATCTCATGGCTCTGCTTCGCCTTCCCGACCAATCTTTTCTCTTCTCTCACCAACATAAACCTCATATTCAGTCTAACTTTAACTCCATAAAAAACCTCTCTTCAACTTGTTTTCTCCTTCCATCCTTTCCTCTCACTAATACCCTCCCCTTGAAAGCTAAAAGGTTAAGCATTTCATCCTCCATTTTTCTGCCACCATCCAAGACCACTGCTAAAAGTTAAAAAACAAGAAGGGGTGTTTTCAAAAACTAGATTGATTGCCCAGAACGTGCCTTGGAATTGTAACACTGAAGGCATTCGTTCTTTGTTCGAGAAACACGGCAGAGTCGTAGATGTTGAGGGTTTTTTCAACATTTTTCATTTGGGATTATCTTTGCTTTAAGAACCGAAAATTTTTGGTTAAATTTGGGTTTTGGTTTATAGTTGACATATTGATGTGTGTGTTTTTGGTTTGTTCTGTTTGGTTTAGCTTTCTATGCATAACAAATCCAGAAATAAGGGGTTGGCATTTGTTTGTATGGCTTCGCCTGAGGAGGCTCTCAATAATCTCGAATCATTTGTAACCATATTTGCCTTTGATTATTTTCTGGGATTTCTCTTCTAGTAGTGCCTAGTTGCCAGATTAGCTTTTGACATATCATTGAATTCAAGATTAGGAAGTCCAATAGAGTTTACTAGAATTATTTTTATTCAACACCTTGATAATCATGTGAATGTGATGATTATAATACATATAAGAATTTCCTTAAATACTAATTTAACAAGTGATTTTAATGCACTCCTTATCAAAACCCTTTACGGATACAGTGTGTGTTTAAGCTAATTTCCCCTGGCTAAGTGATGATTGAGAGTGCAGTTAGACATAATTCTAAGGGACTTTTGTCAATTTTCTTCTTTATTTTTAAAGATAATTGATTTTTTTTTTTTTTATTTTGCCATCATGAGGAATTCGAGGGTCTTACTTTGAGACTCAATTATTCTAAACCTAAGAACAAGAAACCTGCTACACCTGGGAAACGCAAGCCAGTACCAGCATTCAACTTGTTCGTGGCAAATCTTTCATATGAAGCAAGGGCTAAATATCTTAAAAGAGTTTTTCAGTTCTGAGGGTGCTAATGTTGTTTCTGCTGAAGTTATATTTCATGATAATCCAAGAAAGTCATCTAGGTATGGCTTTGTCTCATTCAAAACCAAGAAAGAGGCTGATGTAGCGATGTCTGGTTTCCAAGGGAAGGTAGTTCCTGATTTAGTAATTTTTCTATATTCTTTGAATTTCTGACTTTTCGAATTGGGCATCGCAATGTTGATAGTAGTAATCTGCCTTTGGTTTTTTTAATCGAGAAACTGAGAAATTGTTATTCTGCAGATGTTTATGGGAAGACCAATTCGGGTGCAACACAGTAGACAATTTGTGAAAGTTCAATCAGAAGACAGTTCACAGTCTGATGATAAATCAACTGAGCTAAACTCTAATTTGGAACAAGCAGCCACTAAGAAGTTGAATTGATTATACAGAGAGCAATAAGATTTTATTGTTTGTTATTCTGTTAGTAAGGTTCTTAAATTCAGTGATGACAAAAGGATTATAGCTGTACATTAATACATGAATGTATCAGTCATTTGAGCTCTGTGTTATTTTTGGCAGTCCTTTGAGTAAATTGAGCATTCTTTGGCAATATAAATGCTGTTGTTCAATCAAAACAAGTCTTCGCTGTTGTATAGACTTTATCTTCTCATATAACAACTGCTGTTGTATAGATTCCGCGTGACTGCTGTTTGGGCCTTCTAACAAATCTTTAGATTTAAAAATGAACTCAAAAAATGCAGTGAAAGTCAAGGACTGTCCAGGCCTTCTAATAAACCTTTCCACCAATCTGCCTTATGAACTTTGGGTGAACCATGCGCTTACAACTGCTGCATTGTTGTGTTCATATTGTAAAGGAAACACATCCTGTCAAGGCTGATATCACTTCTAACAGATTACAAGTTTAGCACTCATGCCGATGCCTGCAATTATGTAAGTAAATTGTTGACATTTTATATATCTCCCCCAATGAGAAGTGAGTGATATGCTTCAAGTCCAAACTTATTTCTGTCATTTTATATATTTCAGGCAATATAATCTGTGTTCCTCGTTTGTTCCGCATGCTTGTCAGCAGTATTGATTCAAATGTATCTAGAAACTCAATTGATGTTTAAGTTGGAAATCATTCCTAACTCCCTAGAACTGGACGGCCGGCAAAGTGTTGCTGAGGTCTTTGTGCCTTTTGCTTCTCCTCAACAGAGAGAGAGAGAGAGAGAAAGAGAAAGCATGTAAAAACCTTGGGGAGTGGAATTCAGCTATGGTGTAGTTTGTGCATACTGGAGTATGAAAATAATGGTAGGGGCAAGTTAGAAAATATGCTTGGTTTTTCAGATATCGACACTCAGGTTTGTTTAATATGAGGTGCATGTGCAGTTGAATGTCTCTGTCTTTGGGTTGAATTTCTATTGTCTCTTTGTTTTCATTTGTCCATTCCTTTCTGCTCTCTGTTACGCACTACAGTTTGCTTTTGATTCTCTTGGAAAAGAAAATTTTGCTCCAAGATGATTAATTATGTTCTGAAATTTCGACCTCTTCATCGTCAAATTGCCTCTTAGGACTTTGTTCATTTTCCCATAGTTTACGTGCTTGTAAAATTTTGGAGTTTGAAAATTGAGAGTAAGCAGAATTATTTGGGGGAATGAAAATTTTCTATTCCAAACAATTACAGCATTGAGTAGAGAAAATGGTTGCTACAACAGATGGGAAAATGGAACTGTCGGCTGGTAATATGTGGGGGGCTGAGGCAGCTAGCTATTGGGTTGTCACATGATTCATGACTCTACACCTATTGCTTAGAAAGAACTAGATTAGCTTTATCACATCAGTTGAGAATAAAAGCTCTACGATCTCAAAACTGTGAACAAGAAATTTGGAGAACAAGAGTAATATAGCAAAAGGACATTCAATTGATTTTGCAAGTCCGAATTATTAGGTAGAACATGACATTATTATTTTTCATCTTAGCAGGCAGATATATATATATATATATATATATTACCAACTCATGATTTTAAATTTGTTTGTTTAGAAGTTCAACGATAAAACGCACTCTCCAGAATGATGAGAGCCTTTCAATCGGCTCCCAAATGAAGCATTACCTCATTATGACATGTAGCATGCGTAAAATTTTTTGTATTTTCTCTCCAAAATTTATATGCTTTTTCTTCTTTGCTGGCGATGATAAGCCGCCTTGGTGAGGCTGAGGTCCCATTAGCCAAAAGGTCGGAACACAAGAAGATTGCACGCAGGTAAGGGCTAAGGAATAATAGCTTACGAGAAAAGTTGGAATTGGGGGATCCACAAAGGGGTGTAGTAGGTGGAAGGAATGATAATTCACATAACCAGACCAGCTGACCAGGCCAGGCTAGGCCAGAGTCGGATCCAAAGGGCAGTTGGCCTAATGCAAATGGACCCCAACGGCTCAATCAACCTAACCCCAATAACCGTACTCACCTCTTTACATACATATCAAATTTGGCTTTGGTGATTTGGCTGCTTCTTTACAATGGGTAAATAGGGGAATCACTCTTTTTTTTCATCACTTGGGTTAAAAAAATCATGCCCATGAAGACTTTTAGTCTCAGGTTAGGTGGAGGGTTTGGATCAAAAACTGGCCGCTACGTCACTCTCCTAAACTTCTTTTGCACAAAATCAAAGAAAACACCGATAAGCAAAGTATAACTTGTAATGACTTGTTTAATTCATTTGTCAATTCAACATTATTTACACTACATTTTTACATAATGTAATGAATTCTTCATTCTAATTACTTTTTTTTAGCCAAATAAATGCTTCCTCTGTTTTTCCACAAGCTAAATGTGATTGACAATTTAAAAACTATTCAGCCTAACGAAAAAGTAAAACTGAGGAATTTTTCTTCCTTTTTTTGGGTTTCTTCCTTTCCTTTTTCCGCTTTCAGCTTCTTGCCTGTTGACAGTCCAAGAAATCGTTTCACGTACGCATTGAAAATTTTCAATTTAGGGGGTTGGATGCCAGATTTTTGTTTCCAAAGAGGACGTAGTCTCCTTCATATCGACTACATTTTGTTTGAGTAGGCTTCAAGCATGTTATTACCTGTTTGCATTACCACATCTCTCTCCTTTTCCATTAATGCTGATTGTGACCTTCGTCTGTTTGACAATAACCTCTCATAAAACACCAATGGTAGCAACACCACAGGATGACAACAACCAATGGTAAAAAGAATCAGAAGAAAACAATAATTTATTTTCATGCTTTTCTTCATTCACAATCCATCATTATATGGGCAAACAGATGACTTAAAAAGTTATATATCAGTGGAGTTCCATTATATTGAATGAATAATTGATGTCTTTTGAACTGGCTTTGTAGCAAAAACATCATAACCACCGTTAGGGTAACCCTACTTAACAACAATTATTTAAGTGAAGGGGCAATAAAAGAGAAAGATGGGATTAGGGACCCACATTCTTTTGCATTAGGTTTGGGATCTGCACCCCAAGTCATCCTTTTGAAAGAATTCCTTTTCACAAATGTTGGTTTGTATGGAATTAACTGGACCAAAGTTTACTCCTTCCATCCCCCCCTTTCATGGCATTATATAAGGAACTCCATTTCTGACAATTGTTATCACAAAAACCTCCTCCTGTTGTTTTATCTCTCTGTTTTTACAGTGTTGCCCAGTATAGTTTTCCACAAAAAAAAATGGCTCGCTCAAGCGTGGGAATGGCCTGTCTTTTGCTAGTCTTGTGCTTGGTTGTGCCAAGCTTGGCCACAGTTTACACCGTTGGTGACACTTCTGGCTGGACAACTGGTGTTGATTATAGCACATGGACTAACGGCAAGACCTTCAAAGTTGGCGATAGCCTTGGTGAGTTCTTAAACCCCCAATCTCATGAAAAAAAAGGAAGAAAAATACCAATTTCTCTTTGGATCAACATATTTAGACACATAAACCTACTTATCTATCTTAGATCTTTCACATTCATGTAATTTCAAGTCAAACAATGTTTGATCCATCAACTAACATTTTGAATCTTTGGATCCCTAGTTTTCAATTACCCAACCACTCATACAGTGGAAGAAGTAAGTTCTAGTGACTACAGTACATGCACTGTGGGCAACCCAGTCACAACAGATAACAGTGGAGCCACCACCGTTGCTCTCAAGACTGCCGGAACTCATTACTTCATTTGTGGTGTGATTGGCCATTGTGGGAATGGCATGAAGCTTGCTGTCAAAGTGGAGTCAGGCTCATCCACAGCACCATCTACTACAACTACAACAACTAACCCGAATTCCTCATCTTCATGGAGTCTCTCCCCATTTGTGGCTTTTATCACAACTTGGGTTGCCTTATTTGTGATAGCAATCATTTCATAAGCTTCTGGCAAGAGTGTCGGCCTTGATCAGGATAGAGGCAGTGCTGATCTCCTTTTATTATTATTATTTTTTTATTTTCCATTTTATCTTGTTTGTATTGAGGATCATTGCTTAGCTTCATGAATGAGCAGGTTACTTTTTCATGGCATTAGGTACATCATTTATGTAAGTTATTGTTCATTGTTGTGTCATATTCTATGTGGACATTGTCAAACCTGATTGACAAGAAAAATGAGCTCATCTTGCTAATACTTGAAAGTAAAAAGGGTTTGTCTTTGATAGATACAGAGACATGCTCATGTCTTTTGAGGAGTAGTTTCTAATTTTGGTACGAAGATGATCAATAGTTGAAGACAAGATGACGGGGATAGCCCTTTCTTTTTCCATAATCCCTTGAATCAAGGAGGTAGGATGAACTTGAAATTTGATCAAAAACCTGATACAACAACTGAAGACTAGCAAGTAACAACTAATCTAATTGACAATCTTTTAGGATTAGTTGAAATATTCTTTTCTTAGATTTTGGGCTTTCTTCAAAGTTATGTCGGTTTCATGATATTGTACTCAAATTTTAATTTTTTAATATTCAATAAAAAATATATAAAAATTTATTTAGATGTATGATAAAAGAATTTCTTGGTGCCATTTGTCATTTTATTCATTCAATCTTCAAAATTTTAATTGTAAAATATAGTTACGCACAATAAAAGTCCTCCCCTCATGCAACAAACAAAATATTAAAAGAGGATTTGGATTTCACTACATTTTTAATGTTGTATAGTTGAGTTCATCTCACCATTAAGTTAAATTCAAATGTTAATTTTAGTAAAATTCATTCAATATAAATATTTTTATAATTTTTAAATAATAATTATAATAATATTTTTTAATCTCAATTATAATAATAATTATTATTATTTTTAATTTCATCGAAATTAATCACCGTTTTATCTCGAACAATTTGCCAAATTACACAAACACTTGAATTGCAGGATTTAGTGTTGCGTTTTGGATTGATATGCCGTTCACTGGGCTTTGTTTTGCAATAACCCTTTTGAACACTAGGGTTTTAAAAGTTAACTGTTTAAGAAATTTTGGGCCTAGTTTGATCTGTCAAATTCTAATAAGCCGATTTTCATTTCGTCTTCTCCCAATTTATTTTTTAATTTTAAATTCCAATTTTATATACACTAACAAACACGCAGTTTTCTCTTTTTCTTTGAGAGAAAAAAAAAAAAAAAACGACAACAAACATAGGTTATTAAAGTGATATTATCTTACCTCTAAAAAATATATAATTTTTTATAATCTTTTATTTAAGTTACATCCCTTTACTTACAATAAATTAATTTTAAATTATATATTTAATATGGTATCAAAACTAAAATTTTTTTGTTATATTTTTTAAATCTGTCATATGATAAGTTTTTTTTATCTCCGTTTACATGTGATAAGAACTTGTTAAAGTGATAAAATCTCATATCTAATAAATATTTAATTTATTATAATTTTATATTCAAGTTAAATATTTTTTACTATCAACTAATTTTATATCAAATGTTTAACATAATATTAAAGTTAAAATTTTTTTCTATTGTTCTTTTCAAAATTATCACATCGTAAATTTCTTTTATCACTTTTTACACATGACGAAAATATGTTAAAGTAGGGTTATCTTATCTCACATATAATAAATATAATTATTCCTTCTCCGCTACACGCGATTAGAGCTTATGGGAGTTTATTAAAGTATTATTATCTAATATATGTTTAATACTTAATTTTTTGTAATTTTATATTTAAGTTGGAACATTTCCCTTATTGTTAATTGATTTTATATTGAATCTCCTTTGTTACCAATTGATTTTAAATTAAATGTTTAACAAAATTATTTTAATAACAATTAATTTAAGTATCCCAAAATACTTATAAAACCATTAGAAATTTTTTAATTTAAGAATATTCATTTATGACATATACTTTTATTAAGAATGAAATAATTATTTTCATAAAAATATTTATATGTATTAAAATTTAAATATAAATTTATTAAATATTACCTTTTTACTAATTAACTGGACTAAACCTTTATGTTTATTAGTTAGCCATAGTTACTACATCAACTTCATTTGATGTGTGGTTGACCATTGTGCCCAGGGAATGAACGTTGTTGTTACTGTTAAGGCTGAATCAAACCCAAAGATGACACCATCTCCTTCCACCAACAGTGCTTCTTCCTCGCTGCCTGCAAGAAATGGAAGTTACGGAACCACACACCTTTTGCCTTTCCATAGCTAAGGAGCTCTCTGATTTTGACACGTGACCTACTTGTTTTTGTTGGTTATTTTCAGGCCTTTTGGCAAGGGCGCCTACCCTGGTCAGAGAGACCAATTTCAGTCTTAATGTTGGGGAGTACTACTCATCCTTATGACTGAGGGGACAGGTTTTCTTATTTTAAGGTTAAGGTGAAGAAAGGTTTGTTTAGTTTAGGATCAAAGTAGGTAGGGAGTAAGTTTCGGAGGATTGACATTAGATTTTTTAGAATTTATTGCGGATTTTCAGAGGATTTACATTAGATTTTTAGAATGTATCGTGGATTTTAAAAGATTTATATTAAATTTATAAATTATTTATAAAAAATTTTATTAACAAAAAAATCAAATCTAAATCTTATAAATAAAATATTCCATCTTTATCGATTCAGCCACCTTCGTATTATCAGGAGCGAGGTTACATTTCGTAAATCTTGGGTGATGCAAAGGGGAGTGATTGAAAATCCCAAAAAACCTACCAAACAAGCTTTGTTTTTTGGTCAATCACTCAACAATCTTCACTATCCCCAAAAACCCGTTTCCAAAATCTGAATTTTTATGTTTTGGGCCCCAAAAGTAACAATTTTAAAATTCTAACTCAAATTCACATCATTGTCGCTATTGGGCCCATTAATCTGGCATCGAACTTATGTCTCAGAATTTGAGTTGTCCACACGAACGATTAGCAGTTTAATCCCGAGTCTGGTCGAGTCTGTCTTTTTGGTAAATTACACCATCAGTTACTCATAATTGTTTTTTAAAATAATTTTTAAATTATTAAAATTTTTAATTATACCATGTTAATGACATATCAACTATGCCATTGTATCCGTACGTTATCTAAAATTTATAATATCACTTAACATAAAACGACAAATTAATAATTAAATTATATAGAAATACTCACTCAAAATTTAATAAATTATTAAAAATATATATTTTTTAATCACTTGTTACATTCTAGGTCTATTGAAATTTGAGGTATCCCCCTAGGACTCGGTCTTTCCAGCAGTCCCTCAACATCTTAACAGAATCTATCAGATAGAGAAATGACAGTGCTTGACTCAAGCGCACCCGCGCTCCGACAATCATCGCTCACATTTGACACGAATTAGGTCAACTTCAGAGGCGTATTAAACTGAAATAAACATAAATATAGATATTGATAATAATAAATAATAATAACAGTGAGCAACCGTCAAAATAGCAACAGGCAATCGGGAAATAAAATCATCACCACCGTCAAAATATAAATAAAAATTAACAAAAATTAAAGGAAATGCACTACTAAAATTCCTACTGAAAATAAGAATTTAATAATTGCCTAAAAATGAAATCATCAATCCGAAGTTCTTCCCAAAGACAGATCTACATCAAACAAGCAGCGGCTGCCAAAATGACTGTAACGGCGGATCCAGCTACGGTGACTCTATTCAAAGAGGCAGCGTTTGGAGGAGAAGTTGGAGACGAAACTGGTGGTTGGCTGATGGAGGGTGTGGGACTAGGAGCGCCTGCAGCACTAGCAGGAGCCATAGGAGGAGCCGGAGGAGAATTGGTAGGAGAGGAAGTAGGAGAAGATTCAGGGGCTGATGACGATTGAGGAGTGGTGGCAGACGGCGGAGAAGCAGTTGGGGAAGGGGTGGGAGCGTTGGTCGGAGAGGTTTTGGGTGCGGGAGTGGGAGTGGGGGAGTAGGAGAGGAAGACGGCGGTGACTTCGTTGGCGCAGAGCTGGGAGCTTGGCCGAGAGCGCAGCTGGCTATGAGAGCTAAGAGAACGAAGCAAGAGAAAGATTTCGCCATGATAAAATGTTAAAAGAGACACAGCAATAGAGAAATCAGAGAGCCTGAAAACAGAGGATGCGGCAGTAGGCTAAGAGAGAGGATGGGAGATATATATAGCAGGTTTGGCCCTTGGGGCCTTTGACTCGCAACTTTTTTCTTCCTTCTACGCTTTCCAAAGTTTTGGAGTTTTCTGAGTTTTTTGTTAAGGCCCAAAATTCATGCTTAATTTCAATTTAGTCCGGAGCCCAGAATTCACTATTATGATTAGACAAGTTTTGTATAATATCAAGTTTTGTAATTTAATGTCAAAAATTTACAGGGGGCATTTTCACAATTTACAAAAAGTATAGGGAAACAAGTGAAATCAACCTCCGGGAACAAGGACTTGTTTGTACTTTTAGGTAAAAGCCAAATGCATCATGGTCCTGCACGTGTCCCTGATGATCCTAATCATCGAATCTCAACCGTCTAACTTTCCCCTTTAACAACTCAAAACGCGTTGGCTTAAGCATTCCAGATGAACGGCCAGTGATCATTGGTAGTTACACTTTCCCTTCACATTTTCTTGATTTCGTAAAAATGTCAAAAAAAAAAAAAATTTCTCTTTGGAATTAGATCAATGCAATTCCTAATTTAATTATGAACGAAAATTCTACTTTCCGTTATGACTGGAACGTTGCTGGTCCAATTTTTTATTCATGGGTTTTCAAATGTAGAAAAAAAAATTTTTATTAGCGGTTGAATATTTGAAACTTATTGACTGATTGAGTCAATGCAAACGTAATTGGGAGAGAAAAAAAAAAAACATAAAGAAGATGTAGAAATTAAGCAATTATATTATTCGATATAAATTACATCCAATTAAATACTTCTTAATTGTGTTTAAAACGTTCAAAATTTGAAAAAAAAAATGATAATATGTGTAAATAATAGTATACATTTTAAAAAATGCACAAGCAATTTTCTTTTTTTTTTATCAAAATTCAATTTTTGAGAAAAATATTTTTAAAATTAAATTTTAAATGTATTAAATTGATATGAAAAAGTGTCATCCAAAAAATAATACCCTTAAAATTATATGAAAAAAGAATTAAATATAAAAAAAATTAAAGCATATTTTATCCCCAAGAAATGTGAAATTAGTGATGGTCCAGCACTATTAGAGGTGGCATAAAGTCAAATAGAGTGGTAACCAACAATTGAAATGCTAAAACGCAAATGCAAACACAAAATCAAGATGAAAGATTTTATTGAGTTAGTTAAGAAGGTTACACCAACATTCTTCTTTTATTCCTACCGTTCATTTGCTCGCTTGTTGATTTTCAATCCAAAACATAAATTAATGCCATTGCCCTTTGGGTGTAGAGTTACTTAAAATTAAGTTACTAATTTTTTCCCTAATTAGCCAAAGTAAACACAAGATTTAAAATTTTTTTTTTAATATTTGAAACCATAAAAGTTTAAATTTTGATTATTAAAATTAAAAATTTAATACCATATTAATAAATTTTGGTCAATTTCACAGTTGAGTTCAATTGATTTTGATCATGAATTACATTCTTTTTATGTATGAGGTTATTAATTCAATTGATAATTTGTGGATACAAATCAGTAAATTAAATTAAATGAATAAATAAATAATTAGTAAATAAATTTAACATAGAATTAGGCACAATCACAGTCAGCTAATTCATACATGTTTAAATTCAAAATTTTAAATCTTAAAATCGATTTTATTATCGTTGAATTAACACTTATTAGTTATTAGTTGGTTATGGGACTTTAATCAACAACAGCAACATTTTTAAAAATCGAGGTAGGGTTATAACTTTATTAACTTGCTGCAGCTTTAGCATACGATTACGATTCTTTTCAATAATTGAATCATTAAATGGGATGTTAACAAATATTGGTATTTTTGGATTAAGTGACGATAATATGACACTGAAAATGCAAAAAAAAAAAAAAAAAAAAAACATACTTAAGTAGCAAAAGTTGCAAAGAAGAGGGATTTTGCAAGTATTAGCACATTACTCGGCTATTTACATTGAACACAGGCACAAAAGCACAGCTGCACGTTACAATTTACAACTTATTAAGATTTAAAATTTTTTATTTAGTTATTTTATGTTCAAATCTTGAAAAGGAATAAAGATTATAAGAGACGATTTTATCAAATGTTCTAAAGTTCAGTGAAATCCACATACATATGTGAACTGTCTAAGTGTTTTCATTATTCGAATTTGATAAATGCCTGTTGACTCAAAAATCAAAAGTTCATTTTCTCTTTTCTCCCTAATTAAATAAACAAAATATTGTGTTTCTTTGTACTTTAGATATAAGAACATTACCTATATTTCTTCAACATTGCTTAATTATTTTTAAAAATAATTTGTTTTCCATTTTATAGAACTGTGACAACATTATTGACAAGCTTTGGATACAATTGTTCAAATGTCAACAAATCCGATCGTCCCTTTCTTGGCATACACATATCCACAGATTTTTGTGAGATCGGCGAGGGTAGAGAGGGGAGGCGTCGCTCGAGCGTCAACCGACCCGTCATCCATTTCTTTCTTTCCCTCCTTTTCTCTTCACGATTTTTTTTTTTCATTTTTTTGAAAAACAAAGTAGAAAAAATAATTTTCCTTTATATTTTCTAATCAATCTTAGATTGCCATGTTGAGTTCCCATGGACATTAATAAATTATTTAAAAATTTTTATATCACACATGACATACACATGCCTTCTTTTTTTTTTTTTTCCAAATGCCCTGCAAACAAATTGTTTATCTGTGTTATTAGTTCATGAATCAAAATGTTCGTTGAAAGTTCAAGTACTTGTTCTTTTTTTTTTTTAAGCATCAATTGTACATTATTTTTAAGTGTAAGCACTAAAACTATAATTTGTTAAAAAAATACCAAAATTATAATTAAGCCAACATAAAACTAAGATCCTAAACCCTGATATAAATTTAAAATGCCAAATTAACCCTGAATCTATTATTACAATGAAGCCCCCATAGATACAACAAGGTAATAAGTTAACCCCTCGATTAGCTTCTTATGCATTCTGCAACAACAGTAGTCCAAAGGCAGCTAAGTGGCTAATCATGGTAACTGATGACACAAAATACTTATAAAGATACCTAGAAATTTATTAAACCAATGAAACAAATAAGTATATCATATATCATCAGAAAAAATCTTGATATTTACCTTTGATGAAACTGCTAGCTCACATCCATAGAATGACTTCATAGATGAAGCAGATGACCAGAATAATGCAGTATGAAGGACACAATAACTCCCATTCGTCAGTATCCGGACAAATATTTTATCCACATTTCTCGTATTTATATGTCCTATTTAATTGCAAAAGATGTCGAGGCAGATGCTGCCTCTGCTATTAAGGAAATTGGCTGGCGAGCCTGCAGACAAGCAGCTATATCAAAGGGATGCAACTCAGCACCATCAAAAAGAAGGTTAACACCAGGAAGGATTATTTCTTTGCTATCAGTTTCATCAGGATCAACTTTTGTTGCGGTTACTGGGGCGGAATCTTCAACAGGTCTTGTTGCAGCTTCATATACAGGAGTTAGGGCATATGATCTGCAAATATCATGCAACACTTTGAATAAATAATTCACAACTAAACACTGCAATGAGAAGAAAACATTAAGAGGAAGAAAAAATAAAAATATCAAGTACACTGATTTGACAGACCTAAGAATGCTACCATCAAAGCTCAAAACTTCAGTCCGACATCGCTGTCGACAGGCAAGTTTTAATCTTTGATGCTCACTAGATGCTCCAGAAATGGGAGAAGAAGGGTCTAGCAGTGGATTCCACCTTCCACTAGCATAGTTCATGAGTTGCTTTGATTGCTTCGACTCCTTTAAATGATCCTTTTGCTGCTCCTTCTGGTAAAGAAGTTTTGCTGCAGGACCCGTTGCTTGATACTCTGCACAAACATCACGCAACCTTTTACGTATACTTTGCATTGAATCATGATGCTCAGTAAGTGAATCTGATTGCAGTAACTGTGACGAGACAATCCTTTCACATATATTATTGCATAATTTAGGGCTGAAAAGTGGCATCCCAAATTCAACACTCAGTGGAACCCATTCATATTTCTCCTCATCAGGGCCAAAATGATCTGATTCTCTTTCTTTAAAAAGTTTTAATAAACGAATGTAACCAACCGTCCATAGCTCTATCTTGTGAGCCAAATCAGTTAATAGCTCATTCAATTTCAAACATTCCTCTGCACATAGTCCTAGTTCATCCCCTATGTGAGCAACTGAACCATCAGAGTTCTTAAGAGGCAAGGGTATGTCAAGTGTAACAAACTTTCCAGAACCATCAAGGTCATATCTGCTGAAGGGCTGCACTATAACAGCAGAGTATTTGAGAAGCGAATTTAAACAGTGCAAAAGTACACTTCCCTTAACTAAGCTTCCTTCAAGCTTTCCACCTAAGCCTCCAATCGTTGAACCATCCCAAGACCATATAAGGGCCTTCTCACAACCAGCTAATGGTGCAGGCAACATGCGTAGACATTGTCCTTTCATCAGAACAACTGATAAAGGCCCACTACCTACTGCTGAATATAGCACCAATTTCATCCATGGTGTCATTGATGAGTGAGAAGGAGGACCAAAATGAATGGGACCTGTAGGCCCAGGAAGAACGGATGAATGTGGAAGTGGAACCATAGACACAATGATATCATAGTCACGAAGAAATAACCGATCTAAGGTTGCTTTTGGCAGAGCAGCCAAGCTTTCACAGCGGAGGATATCCACTCGATACTTTTTTATCCTCCTTGAAGTTCCTTTTCCTATGTCAGGCCCTTCAATCTGTATCCATTTCTCGTCATTCTGGATATTCAGATCTGACTTGGAAACCTCACTTGATAGCTTACCATCTTTTGATATGGTAGCAGATCCGTCATCACCAGCCGTTTCAGGTACAGGGTCATCCACATCTTCTTGTGATGTCTCTACATTACCGGTATTATTAATGTTTTCTTCAGTTTCATTGGTAGCAGATTGTTCTGAAATATCAATCAATGAGGTGTCAGCTATCAGATTATACTCATCATTGCCTGAAGTTGACAATCCCATTCTATCAGCAATTTCCACAGCTTTATCAGTGGCAACTCCACCTGATAGTAGACACTCCAAAACACAGCGGAGACTGAATGCATGATTTGCAAATTCCTGCAACTCTCCCTCAAATTTTGTTCCCTCCAAAGTGCTCAGGTCTTTGCACAGATCTGCAATGCTAGCATGGCCTAATTTCCCAGCTTCATATAATGTCACAGCAAGAGATTTCAGTCCTGCAAAAAACCCAGTAAGAGGACATACAAATTATGTCAGAGAATAGGACAGTAAGTGCATGTACATGCAGATGATATACATAAAAAACCATAACCAATTATTTACACACAATACTGGAACCTGTCAAATCATCATCACATGCATGCAAACTAGAATGATGGAATATGTCTAAACGGTAAATACATGTACATGCAGATGCTATAAATAAAAAACCATAACAAATTATTACACAATACTGGAACCTGTTAAATCATCATCACATGCAAACTAGAATGATGGAATATGTCTACGTTGCACCCTCCTAATACCACCAACAGGAAATAACAAGTTAGTTCCTCTTGACCTCGCACTACTGGTTATGATGTTCAACAAAAAACAATATCTTGGACTGGAACATGTAAACTAGACATTCAAAAGGGTAAAGAAAAACGTAACTAACCTGGTGAAACAGAGCCCATCATAAGATAAGATGTTATATTAGCATCAACAACAAAAGCAACCCGAGCATCACTAGAATGCGGCCCCTGGTTTTCTGTCCCCCAAAAATCTCCTTGTTGAGCAGCCTCACCATCAGTGGACATATTTGCTGAGGTTGAACTAGGGTGAGAGGGATCTTCTTCATCTGTAAGGCTGACACCATGAGGAGGTACGCTTGTGTTTTCTTGAAGAACAGATGCCGGGTCAATTACTTTTACTGCCCATCCCAAGCGACAAACAAAAGATGCAGCAGCCTGCAGTTGACTAAGATCCGCTTGTAAGGTTGATGCCAGCTCAGCAACAGTAGCATTCTCACTTGAAACAACAAAAACAGCATACAGCAACCTGAATAGTGCAGTTACTAGCATTAAAAATCCAATTTACACTGCTACTAAACAACATTGAAAGGACCAAAAGATCAAAGAATAACTTACTCCTCAATAGGATCCTCATAAGACTGCTCCTTATTTGAAATAAACCCTTCAAGCCTAGAAACTGAACTACAATAGTATTAATAACTCGATTCACAAACCCAAAAAAGACTCAAACAGAGATGGTCAGGTACCTTGCCATTCCATCACCAAATTCAAAACACATTTAAGCAGTGGGAAGATCAATAAAAGTAAACACTAAAGAACTTGCAATAAAGTAAACAGCTATATGGAGAGCATCCAAAAGAAAAAGGATATTTAAAAAAAAACCATGGTAATTAGTATCTTTTCAATGTCATATTTTTTTGGGAAAAGACACAGAGGCCACTACGAAGAATGCTTGGCTGATAAATAACTCACTTCTATGTCTTCGACACCCTCAGTCACTACAAAACCCCTGATCACTACAAAACCCTTGCCATTCCATCACCAAATTCAAAACACATTTAAGCAGTGGGAAGATCAATAAAAGTAAACACTAAAGAACTTGCAATAAAGTAAACAGCTATATGGAGAGCATCCAAAAGAAAAAGGATATTTAAAAAAAAACCATGGTAATTAGTATCTTTTCAATGTCATATTTTTTTGGGAAAAGACACAGAGGCCACTACGAAGAATGCTTGGCTGATAAATAATTCACTTCTTGGTCTTCGACCCCCTCAGTCACTACGAAACCCCTGATCAGTGCAATGGGATGTGTCTATTTATCTATCTCTTGACTCAAAATTTCAAGTGTTTAGGGTTAGCCAAGAGTCTCTTAACACTGTTTTCTTTTTTCTTTCTATTCCAATAGGAGTATTTCTTATCTCACAAATACTTGCCATGGAAAGCATTAAGGTAGAAGGGGGAACAAGCATATGCTCAGAGTGCACACTACAATGGGGAGTTATATGCTACATTCAGGCGAGATTAATCACTCCCGGATAGGAATTTGTTGATTCTCTATTTCTCTCCCAACTGGTTGGACCATTGGTGCAATTATTTACTTCACGGACAAGGTCTCTGGTTAAGTGATGCGAAAAAAAGGGGAAAACTGCAGAATTTCTTAATATGAAAGTAACTAGGAATTTACTTTTAAATAAGGTAAATCAATAAAAAAAAAAAAGTCAGTTTTAAACTACCACCAGCTAACACTGACAAAGATACCACTATGAAAACCAAATATGAAGGGACTTCAATATCAAAGGTAAATTTTTGGAACAAAAAAGGAAAATGTAGTCAAAGCAATCCTAAACTATATAAACAAGTAGTAACAGCTTTAAGTCCATCTTCCTCAACCAAGTGCAGTTTCAAAGAAAAGAAGATGTTTTTTTTGGGATGGAGGAAGAAAATTCTCCGAAATGCAAAAATAAGTGTTGAGGGATGTCTATCTTTTGTTTGTGACTGTAATAGAATAGCCTACTTTAATGTGTGTCACTCAACAAACCTGCGCTCTTATTCAGTTCCAAACAGTCAAAGGAAGTCATCTTTTAGCAAAACCAAAAGATTCAAGTACTCCACACTTCAGAGTATATTAATTCAAAAGGAAAATACTCATGTATGTACCTAATGTACACAAATAAAAGATAAATTTTAAGCAATTAGCAAAAGAGTAAGTCTATTTTTATGCCCTTCCAACCTAAAGCACTTGAAAATTAATTATTTTAATGAAGTAAAGATGGATTAATATAGAGATCCTACTTTGGCAGAAATTCTGAAAGCAAACAGCTAACCTTTAAACCGGTCATCTGGATAGACAGGGACATCAAAATAAACCAATCCCCGTCGATAAAGACCTTTTACAATGTCAGGATCAAACAGGATAAATGCATTAGCTTCTTCCTTGCAGATTTTATCTATTGTTGCCATTTCTTCTTCTGAAAGCTTCTATAAAAGAAGCAAACAAATGTGAAGATGCAGATTACACCAACAAAGTAAAGAACATGTATCTGAATGCGGCATAATATCAAACTAATCTAATGATACACTTTAGATAATACGACAAAGAACCATCAGAAACCTCACCTTAAACTCTTCTAGGGTAAAGTTAACAAGACAAATTCCCCACCAAGTTTCAATCGGAAAGTCTACAGGTTGGGTAGGTAACAACTCTTTCGCGATCGATTTGTTCAGCTTCCACATAATTTTCTGGATAGCTCCAGATAGTAAACAATAGGTAAGATGATAACAAAGGTACTATATTGGATTTATAAATATAATCTAGTTTGCATAATGTAGAACAAATGATGCCATCACAAGTTTACAGGGTAAGCACAAGCAACTTAAATTATTTTGTCTATTAGAATGGTTTCACTGGACATGACCAAAATAATGAAAAGTTTATTAAACATATCTATACCCAATGATTCTAGAGGGAACTATTAGAAGTTCAGTTTGTAAAACAAACTGTACTACATCAGGCAGAAAGTCAACGCTTAAAATAATAATATTATTGCCTCTCTTGTTCTCAAGTAAAGAGCAATGTACATAATTGACAAAGTAAGAAGTTCAAATTCCGTTTTCCAGTCTAGTATGCTTTAAACATCAAGGCAATGAGATAATGCAGCCCAAAAGAATTTTATTTTGCAAATCTGCCAATTAGGCAACAAAAAGAAGAATAAAAGAATGATTCAAGTTACAAATGCCACATTACCAGGCATGATGACGAGTATTAATCAGTGTACAAGTGCATGCATTTTACTTGGATTACTTGTGCAGGCATATGATAAAGGAGCAAGGACAAGCGCAAGCAACCACAATGCTCACCAGCACATAGTTACACACATGAACTTGAAAGCAAAAATCTGATCCAGTACCTTAGACCTGCACTTGTTCATGATATCAATGAATTCATTTCTCCCAATTCCCGTAAGTCTCAAAGCATCAGCAGCACTGAAATTTGGGATGCTGTCATAAGGTTGCTCTGTCAACAACAAGAATCGCCTAGGAAAGGTCAGTATCTATCTACATATGAAGCCAACACTGATTCATAAACGGTCAATGCGGCATTAAATCTGAATAAATGCACATATATTTGTGTGCAAAACAAAATGTAAATATGCAATATGATAAGATTGGTCAACCAATCCAATAAAAACCTCAATAAGAACAAGTCAAATGTATATTGTAAATTGTAAGTCCAAACACTAGAGAAATCAAGATTGAGATGTTAGAGATGCATTTTATAATATCATAATTTAAAAAAAAAAAAAAAAAACCCATAGATAGATTGCTTAAATCCACGTTGCAAACTGTCATATCATATATTAAGATGTTGATAAGGTAATGAGCATATAGTACTAGAAGCACCAGAAGAAACATCTTAAATCAGATTGGATAAATGGTTGAAGAAGGAACATGAGAACAGGACGAATGTTTATTGGATATGTGGAATTCTCAGTCCCACCGAAAAATGATGTTGAAGATGCCTTCTCCGAGATAACCAGAAATCTTTTAAGAGCCCTTAAAACCATGTGCTCAAATTTGTAGCCACCACTCTCAATTGATGCTACTTTCTACCAGGAAAATAATTGGAGGCAACAAGGACAGAAAAGAGAAAATTACACTTGTAATGTATTTAACGATAGCCTAACCATCTCTAGCCGCTCAATTATTCAAGCAATCATTTCATGATGTGTCCAGTTTTTGTCTAGCAATTGATTCATGTTTAGATTTCGGTCGCAACAGTTGCTCTCAGCATATGGTTTTAAGTTTCAACCACCAACAAATCTCCACCAAAAAGTTCATGCTATCTATTAATTTTCATCTAGTTAGTAAATAATGGTCAATCACACCACCATATATGATGGTTTTTCTGTTGCATCTTCTTGTTTCTTGCCTCCTTAGCACCCTGGCCATCAGTCTTTGTGCACATAATGCACACTTCTAGACTGATAAAAACAGATGCATTCAAGTCCTTATATACACCTAGAAACACTTAATCACATACAAGCCCCAGCCAATCAATAGTAATTTATTTATTTATTTTTTGGATAAGTAGAAATATATTCAACTTTAAACTAGAAACAATCTAGAGTAATTTAAGGATTAGCAATTCCATAATGGGATTCAATAATTCAATGACATGCTTAGTATGAATGCAAATCTTTGAAATACAAAAAGATAAAAACAATCATAACTCCAGCTGGATAAAATATATGAGATTTCTCAGCAGATCAATCAGCCAGATTTATCTTCAGCCAAAACTTTTTTCCATCATCAGTCATATCATTACATAAAAAGGAAGTTGCATGGTAAAACCAAATAGGAGGGAGCAATCACCATTTTTCATAACCTCGAATATCATATCACAGTAATATCGGAAGGGAGATACCCTCATCACACGGCAAACATACTCCGCAAGGTGGTAAGGGAATAACTGCAATTAAGAAATTCAAAAAGTGAACTGCAAAGAACCACTAGAAACGGTATCAGGGGCAAAAAAGGAAGGTGCGAGTCATCCAATACAAACTCCAACAAATGGGAATAGTTTTTATAATTTATTCAAGTGGTCAAGCTATGAAAGCCATTGTAAATGACCAAAAAAGTAGCTGGCATTGCACTAATGCACTTAAATGCAGTTTTTTACTATGATAGTTCTGCTTCTACTTTAAAAGGAAAAAACAACATATTTAATCAAGTTCCATACTGGGAGTTGCAAAAATATTCCTTTATCATTGTGAAACAGGTACATTGATCATATGAGAACAAAAGTTTTTGTAAAAACATATTATAGAATAAATCATACTAAGGAAAATAAAAAAGAAAGTTCCAAAAATTTTCTTTAACACGCACCGCAAGATTCTTTCGCAAGTAACGCATCATCTCTTCATAATACTCACTTTCTTTGCATACTTTGCGAGCAAAACAAGTGTTCCATTGGAGCCTTTTCTTGATACAATGGTTGATGATCCTAAATGGAGTTACCAAAGAAAAAGAAGGGGTAAGATCAAGCAATAGAAAACTAATCCCAGGAGTTCACAAAGAGATGAGCATTTAATTCTGACGACTCATCAGGATAAATAACAATGAACTTCATTTTCATTCTAGGACCAAAACTGAGAATGTTTTTAGAAACAACCGAAAACCATTATGTGCATGTTTAACAGTAAAAATGAAATGTAATTTGAATAGTGAGTGAAAACTGAAAACAACATTGTATTCAATAGTTTGTAAAGCTACCATCATGAAGTATAACTTTCAAAATGTCAGCATCCCAAACCAATTTATTTTTATTCTAAGAAATATTAGAAAGAAACATTTCCCAAAACGGCAAAACCTAACAAGCATATATTGCTTCAGGATAGAGGCCAAACAACAGAAACATGCCAAATTACAGATGACTATTACAAAACAAGTTCTCTAACACCTGAATGCTGAATGATCCATCAAATCATTTAACCAAATCATCCATGCACAAATTCTTAATTGGGAAGACAAACCTCAATACCTAATAGGAGCATCTATATGTCCAATCTGCGTAATTTGCAAAGTTCTTTCATGCAATGGCTATAAAGGAGAAATGCCAGATCAAATTTCCAATTAATACCACAAACTTTTTCACAGAACTCCTTTGCGATAACATTAACTAATCCATCAACCACATATTAAGGATGAAGTAATTTTTTCATCTTCAAAAAAGAAAACTAATAGTTACAATCTGCTCTGTTTGGAAAATTGATCTTAAATTACACTCTAAAACAAAATAATTAAGTTCTTCAAAGCTAACAACTAAATGATCCTAACAGCTGCAGTTTAAAAAGTAAAACAAAGGTAAGAAGCAGAATCCAAACTAACCTTCGGTGCCATTCTTCTTTAGAATTAAGAGCGGCTTGAAGCCGTTTGGGCAAATTCTCCCAAGGACATTCTTCCCTAATCGCTTTCAGAAACAACTGTTCCTCGACCGTCGCTGGAATGTGCTGCATCGTAATAGATCACTCAATCTCCTCCCCCTCTGTACATAAATCAATCAATCAGCTAGCGTAATAAATGATTGGCAGAAGAAACTTAGGTCGATAAATGAGCATTAGATGGATCGAACCTGAAAGAGAGAGAATAAGAGGGAGCTTTGATCGCTGGAGGCGACGGCGGATCGAGCTAGGGTTTTGATAAATCGCGGTAAAGGGAGATCCAATCTAAAGAATTGAAAATTCAGAAATGAGAAATGTTGGAATTGCTACAACATGCATGACTGTATTATAACGGGATAGGCTGGTGTGGTCGCTTCCTTTGGGTTTGGATTACCGAAACGGTAAATGTCCAAGTAACTGGGAGTTGAAATGGAAATATAGTATCAGTGAAAATAATTTTTTACAGTGATCTGGCCTTCTATTTTGGTCCAGTCGACCGCGCCAGACCCCGTGTAGTGGATTCAGTGGTTAATTTTATAGGGGAACAATTTTCTCTCTTAGATGCAGAATGTCCACGGGGCGTGAATGGCGCAGGTTACCATGTTTTTATTTTTTTTTAATTTTTTGATATTTGATAATCATATTAAATTTGATTAATTTAAAATCGAATTAAAGAGAGTAAATTTTTTTAAATTTAATTTTTTCATTCAAGAAACTTGAAATCAAAATTTTATTTAAAAAAATTAAATTTTTTATCATTTAAACTAACATATATTAATTATCATATTATTGTTATTAGATATTGGAAACTCTAAAAGTATTTAAGTGCAATGAAATACATAAGTAATTGAGTTGAGTTTTATAAATTAAATCTTTTGTTGGATATAACATAAAGATAAAATGTAAGTAACTATAAATAATTAAAATTTTAAGATATAATGTTGAGTTCTAAGAGTCTAACCATAGCAAAATTTCATAACTCTAAAATTTTTTGTTATTATTTATAATTATTATTGAAATAAATTTATTAATAATTTTATTTTATATAAAAAGTAAAATGAAATACATAATAAAATAAAAATATACCTTAATAAACATTGCACCAAAATAAATTATGATAAACTTCAAATACCGCTGGATTTAACACAAATGACTTGGGTTGGACCCAAAAGGAGTTGTCAACATTGATCAATATTTGAAGCGGGTCATAGGTCAACAGTGGGGTGCGCCTCGATCTGGTTTAAACGCAGGTTATGATATTTTTAATACTACAAAATCTTTTTTTTTTTTTCACTTCATTTTTTCTTTTCTTCTCTCTTTAAACTCCACAAACTCTCCATCTTCTCTTAAAAAAAAAAAAAAAAAACTGACAACTGCCACCTTGCTTACAAAACCAACGTCTTTTTTGGGGTTAGCAGCTTAATTCATCTATGATAAATTTTGATTCAATTCAATTTTGTAAAGTTAATTTATTTTTTAAATCGAATTTTGAATCAAATAATAATAAAAAAAGATAAAAATCAGGTCAAAATTGAATTTTAGATAAACTCAATCCGATATATATAAAAAAATTATTTTTAATTATTTTTTATATTAATAAATATTATTTTATATTTTTAAAAAATAATATTTTATTAATTTCGAGTCGAATCAATTACGATTTATGCAATATCAAATCAAGTCAAATTCATGTATGAAAAAAATAAAAAAAATTTAAAATCAAATCAAATTTAAATTTTATGAATATAAAATCGAATATAATTCGACATGACCAAAAACAAACATCAACCCATCCGTTATCATTTTTAATCTTTTTGCCACTATCACCACTTGCGGTTGCTATCTACATTCGCTCATCGACATCGGTTCTTCACTAAATTACACCGAAATGTTTCTCTTTTCTTATTCTTCACACTTTTCAACTAATTTTCTCTCAAACCATTTACATCTCCCTAGATCTAGATTATAACTCGTGGCTCCAACATTCCAAAATCATTGACCTCCACTACTCTAATGGTCTCAACATGTTGTTTCTTTCCTCAAAGTCTCATTCCCTTTTAAATTTGAACTTTTGGAACACACTAGAACACTATTAACCTGAAACTCCTCTATCTTTATATATATATATATATATATATATATATATATTTGTGATTTTTGGTCTTCTTGTGATATTTAGCTATTTGTTATGTTTTCTTTTGTTGCTTGTCTTTGCTGTTTATGGTTGAGGGTTGATAAAGGGATGGGTTTTGAACTTTCAGAATAGGCAATGGTGGCTTCGAGTTTGAGATTCAGTGTGAGGTTTTGGGTTTTTTAGTATGTCTTCAATGTTGTGTTGATATTGGTGGTTTGGGTTTTTTTGGTGGTTGATGGTGTGTGGATGGTTTCAATTAATGGTGGTTTAGGTTTGTTTAGTGGTTGATAATATGTGTTGATTTTTTTCTCATCTTTTATCATTTTTCAAGATTTTTTTTATTTTTTATTTGTAAAGATAAAAATTTCATCTCATCCTTTGAAGATAAAGAAGCACTGTTTTTATAATTAATTTGGGTTTTCTTGCTATTGGCAATTGTGTTTTTGAGTTTAGTAGAAAGAAAGAGCTAGTGTTAGATGAAACCATTTTTTAAGCTTTTCCTCTATTTGCCAATTTCGACATTCTCTTTCACTCAAATCTCCTGAACAAATTAAAAATCTTTTTTTTTTGTATCCTTTTTAGGCGCATGAATACCTTTTAACAAATTTAAAATCTCTTTTGTGTGTTTTTTTTTTAACGGTTGTAATCTAGAGAGAATCTGAAAACAAAATTTTATATATACTGAAAAATCAATTCACACTTTAGTGTGAAATTAATAAAAAAATTTATAATATACGTCTATATAATTTGATATTAAAAAAATATATCAAATATAAAATAAATTTACATAATGCAATATTAAAATATTAAATTTAGAAAGTTTCAAAGTTTAAAGCATAAAATAATATATTCAAAGGATAATTTAAGGAAACACTAATAATTTTGACAAGTAACTAAAAACAAAAGATATAATATCTACATAATTAGAGTGATAAAAAAATTCATATAATATCTACATAATTAGATCGATAAAAAAAATTCGTACCCAAAATATGATTTTTATTCATAAAAGAATCTTACGCTTCAAGCTAAATCAAACTTATAATATAAGGGCAAAACTTCAGAAAAACATAATCTATTAGAAACAAATTCAGCCAAAAAAAATAAACATAAAACTTTTCAACCCAAACATAAAACATATCAATCCTGGTAACACCTAAATTAGTCAAAGAATTTGCTAATGAGTTTACTTCTCTTAAATTTAACCTTTCTAATCTCAACGCTAAAGATTGATACTCCTTCCAAGATCGCAAGTAAAAGAAAAAATCTCAACATAATTTCTTTCATTATTTTTTTAAAGACCTAACCTATAAATTATAATCTCATTATAATTGGCCAAAATCTCATGCTAAATCATGGTAAATGTTTTAGACACATGTTATCATAATCCTAAAAAGTTTGCTTACACTTTATTTTTTTCTTTTTAAGTTCAATCATTTTACTTTTAATATTTTTAATATTAATATCCAAAATGATTTTCTCATATCTATACTTTTTAAAACCTACAAATACAAAGCAAGGTGACTACAAATAATTTTATAAGTTAACACATTAAATCTTACTTTTAAATTGAAAAAACGCTAAATTGTAAAAATTATGCTAATGCACTCATATTGAGTCATCCATGATGAGATTCGAAGATGTAATAACAAAATTTCTTGGCTCTTAGAGAAAGACAAGCATGAAACTATTATATAAAAGGTATCTAGGGCACAAACTAAATTGATCAACGTGTTTTTAGAGGAATGTGTCATTCTATAAAGTCCAATAGTAAATTCAACATGCTTAAAATGTATGAATTTAATAAAGTACAAAAACATAGAAGCACTAAACCTACCATAATAAGCAAAAAAAAAAAAGAATTAATATGAACATCTTGTTAATTTCTTTTTTATTTTAATCAGTTATTATTATTATTATTATTATTATTATTACTTCTGTTTTTAAGAAAATTAACATGCTCAAAATGTATTTTATTAATACAATGTAAATCAACATCTTCAAAATGCGTAGTGTAAACAAATTAATGTTTGATAGAAATTTGAGTTGCTGCCAATTTTACTATAAATTTTAAGATAAACCTAAAAATTGAAATGGTCTAAACTAAAGATTATCACAAAAATGAAAGAAAAAATATTTATAATGAAGTTTCTCAAGCGAAGATAATTGAAGAAAGAGTTCACCTTAGGTCAAAATTTTTTTTTAAATATTTTTGCTTTATTATTAACAATAACAACTACTTGCAAACCAATAAAACATTAAGTAACTATTGCCATTGCACATTATAATGAAAAAATTATATAGCAAACAGAGCAAACCTTTCATTTTAATACTACACACAAACTCATTATATATTAAAAAAACTATTAACCATCAAATAAATAGAAAGAGGTATTAGGTACATACCTGAAAATCGGCATAGCTTGGTCATTATCTCTTGCAAATCAAACGTAAAAATCATTGTCAAAAAGTATTTTGAAAGGTTTCACTTTTCTAAAAATTGAGTTCAATGTACAAGGATTCTATTAGCGAAATGAAACAAAAACAAAAGGGTGGTTATGAATCTTTTGATTTTTGAGGACAATTTAACCATAGAAGTTGAAATATCATTACTTGGCAAGAAAATCAACAAATCCACATTGATTTTTTGAGCTAATGAAATAAGTTTTTTCCTGGTGCTCCTATTAAGACGGTTTAAAGTTTAAAAAGACAAATGGATGTAATTTCATTCTTATCCTAAAAGGCAAACATGTCTATTACCATTGATATTTTAATTCTATCATTTATCAATGAAAACTTTAAAATATTATTAAAAATTATTAAATTCTTTTTGTGTCTTGAAATGGATAGTTCACACCGACAAAAACCAAAAGATAAAATTATGTAAGTTATAAAATTTTTATTTAAATACAAAATTTGAGAATAAGATTAAAAGTCATAATGATTGATAAGACATGTTCACGTCAATTGCAGACACCTTAATCTGCCTGGGGTTCTAATTGATTTTGTTTTTGTTAATAAAAATAAAAAACATAAAAGAAAAATTAGTGATTGAGTAAAACATGCATGTTTGGATTTGACAGTTTGAGTTGGACTTAAAATATGAAGTTAAAATTTAAAATAGATCGAAACTCTTTTCCAATTTAGGGTTTTCAGACTTTGAACCCTATAAATCCATACTCACACAGAAGGAAAAAACACACCAATCAGAAAAAAAACATATCCAAAGGAAGTTAAAGAGTATGAAAATTGTTGAAAGATTTTTTGTAAAAAAAATATATATATATTTTTTAATTTTTCTGAAATTCTAATTTTTAATTGAATTTTTCAGTGATCTTTGAAGATTCTGGTGACTTTCCGATGAGATTCCCAACTTTTCGACGTG